GTAATATCACTGATTGTGCCCCTCATGTTAGAGGTGAGGAAAATGAGACCTTCTGAGGAAGAATGGTTTGCCCAAGGCCACACAGCTTATTAGCAGAAGAGCTAATATTAAAATCTTACATCTCTTTGTTCTTAGGTCAGTGATCTCTCTGTTAGATCAGAGCTGCCTTTCTATTAAAATCAGTTTTTCAAGGACTTGCCCCTGAAGTATCAGGTAGACCCAGGCCAGGCTGAAGGCCATTACAAGGGTTCACCCCTTCCAACAGGGAAGAGGGGGAAGGAGTTTGCAGATAAAAGCAGCTGTGGAAGAGAGATGAAATCATCAGTGGTCACATAGCACTTCAGCTGGGGATCAAGTACAAAAGAGTTTTCTTGATGACTTGAAATGATAAAGTTTTTAATATATAACTCTTCACACATAGAGTGTTCCTTAAATTCCTTCATAGCATTGAATCCAAATAAACCAATTACACATGTCAAGATGCTTAACCTGCCAACCTTACCCTAACATCCCATGGAAGTCTCCCATAGCCAAAGTATCCTGACTCCTTCCTTATTGGCCATAAGATGTGTAGCACAAGGCAGGGAGGCCTTTCAAAGAAAATAACTGAAACTAAACTCAATTGAGTATCAGAGGCTGGGTTTTTGCCCAACCCCAGAGCCAACAGAAATTAAGAACAGACTTCTGAAGACAATCTCTGAGAACAAAAGATACTGATCCCAGGCTAGACAGAAGCAGGATGCAATTGCAGGGATGTTGTAAGGCTCTCCTAGAAGGTAAACCTGGAGCAGGGCTTTTTCCACTCAAATCCCTTCTCCTTTTCTATAACTAGCACTAGGAAGCCTACTTAAAGCTCCAGGGCTAAGGAGAGGGGGGAAATTCTTGTTGACTCTGTGCCTTCCACCCCTCCTTCCATGTGCAGGCTCCTCATGGCTTATTCTCCCAGACTCTCCAGATTCCCCCACAACAGCTGTCATCAACCATCAAATATCCCATACATCTAGATGCATCAAACAACTGTGGAGAAAAATGTATCATGTGGAATAGCCTACATAGCTGAGAAGGGACAAGGGTGGATGGAACAAGCATGCCAAACAGGAGCCAAATTGGGGATCACTGAGAACCTGCTCAGGGTCCATCCTTCTGCCAGGATCAGGGGATCAAGTCAACATCTGGAAACAAGAAGAAGCAGGATTACTATAGGCAGATGTACTAAATCTCAGCAGTAGATCTGAGCAGCATTCCACCTCCCTGCAATGTCTTTTCCTACTAATTCCTGAAAATTGTTTATTAATATTTTTATTCTTATATCAACTACATTTCCCAATCTATTTCCCCCTTTCTACTCCCTATCGTTGTCCTTTTTCTAACGAGCCACCCCGCATAACAAAGAATATGAAAGATGAGAGAAAAAGGTCAATACAACTAACTAACATATGAACCAAGTACAATATTGTATGAAGTACTCCACAACTATAGGCCCCCAACTTTAAAAAGAAGGGAAAGAGGAATTAAATTTCATTGTTATTCCATCATTTTTCAGTTGTGTCTGACTCTTTGTGACCCCATTTGGGGTTTTCTTGGCAAAGATACTGCAGTGGTTTGCCATTTTCTTCTCCCACTCATATCACAGATGAGGAAACTGAGGCAAACAGGGTTAAGTGATTTGCCCAGGGTCACACAGCTAATACTGTCTGAGGCCAGATTTGAACTCAAGAAGATGAGTCTTCCTAACTCCAGGCCTGGCACAGCATCACCTAGCTGCTCAGACAACTAAATTCCTATGAATAAATTAAGGGAAGGGAGGAGAGTTTTCTGCAGGAAGTAGATAGCAATAGTAATAATAACAACAATAATAATTTACATTTCTATAGGGATCCTGCATTTAGAGCTGGAAAGGACCTGAGAAGCTATCCAGTCCAACCCCTTGTTTTCAGATAAGGCCAAGAAAGGTTTAATAACCTGCCTAAAGTCACTTGGGTAGTACAGAGCCAGGATTTGAATTTAGATCCTCTGACATCCTTCCTTCCAGTATACCACAGTGTACAAAATATTTTCCTTACAGCAGCCCTGAGAGGTAAGCAATACAAATTTTATCTCTCTTTTGCAGAGGATGAAACCAAAGCTCTGAGAGGTAAAATAACTTATTTGAGGTCATCCAGCTAGAAAGTGTTATAAGCTTAACTGTAACATAGGTCTTATGACTAAAGAAAGTTTATACACATGGCAGCTAGTGTCCCATCAGATTTCTTCCTACTATTTCTTTTGTTCAAGGTTGATCAGTCTTTGGAATTACAGGAGCTCCCTTTAATCTCCCTCAAGATGTTTTCTTCTTGGAAAGTCAGACACGGCTTTCTCCATAGTCTTTGTTAGCTGAAGGGAAGCTAGGTGGATTGCAGATGACCAAAGGCTAGCTAGCTCTCTGAGTTCAACCAAATTCACCGGCCAGGTATTCTCCTCAAGCAACCAAGCTGAAAGTTTCAGGAAGACAAGTTCCTTCAGAATGGATGGGAATTGCTGGACAATAGGCTGAGCTTGGGATGCCCTGGGAGAAAAGTCAGAGGCTGAACTATTCAGTCCCCACACATCCAAGCAGATGATTAAATTCACCTCTTAGACTCTCTAGGAGACGTTCTGAGGATTCACAGTCCCCTGAAGGGCCAGACTTTCCAGCTTGGCCTGCAACCCCTGAAAACCTGGAGGGGCTACCTGGTCCTGGAGAACCCTGAGATCCCAGTTTTTCCAGCAGATCTTCCCCTGATTGGCCTAGAATAAAACATATCAGAAAGTTCAGAAATTCACTGGCTCATTCATTTATCAATAGACTAAGCCCTTTAATTTGCTAAGTGTCCATGAAGCATTTGGCACTCAACTGGTAGTGAATGAGAGCCAGAAAAAAAAAAACAGGAAATGGAGCTTATATTCCTATATTGATGAATTAACTGAAGAAATAGTTAGACCTACCAGGCTGAATCCTGGTATATTTATATGTATATCTGAAATAAGTAAGATTAATATAAAACCTTTTCCAGGCCAACACAGGAAGGATTTCTGTAGGAGGATGAGATCAGAGACATAACTTAAAAGATGAGGTGAGGGTTGGTAAGGCTAGGAATCAGTGTGAGACAGACAACAGCTGGGTTAAAAGAGAGGACAGAGGAACTAGAAAGTACAGTATCAATGTGAGCTAGCCATGGCTGTACACTCCCCTCGGCTTTTGAAGGTCTGCCATGTTAATGGTCCCAGGGGAGAAGCATTTTCACCTGTCCTTCCACGGAGTCCAGGAGGCCCTTGTACTGATAGGCCAGGGCTGTTCTTCTGCCCTTTGACTCCCAGTTCACCTATTAGGAAAGAATCATTTGGAAACAAGTGAGAATTTGGAGAAATCTGGGCTGGGGATTTTCACTTCCTCCCCCCCCCCACACACAGGGCCTCTACTCTAATGAAATATGTTCTGATGGGGGAGACATGGCTCATATCCTCAGTGAAATTTTAGTCTGAAGTGGGAGTCACAGCCTTGTTTTTAGGGTCTCTTGGACTTATGTGGGGGTGAGGAGACATAGTCACTTTCCCCAGAGACCTTCAGGTCTAATAAGAGGAGGCACAGACTCTGATGTTAGGGAGCTTATGGTCTATTTATTGATACAAGGGGTGGGATACTGGGTGTGACTGAGACCAGAGAGCGGCAAGGTGCCCCCGGACCTATCTGCACTGAAACTGACTTTCATTAAAATTGCAGGATGAAAAAAAAAATTTAAAAAACAAAAAAAACAAAAAAATAAAAAACTGCAGGATGGCAGAGGCTGGGTGCTCAGAGGTCTCTCTGTAACTTATGCTCTGCCTGCATCTCAACACTGAGAGAAAGGAACAGGCTAGAGCCCAGTCCCCAGTGCTAAGAACCATCCACCAGAGATAGTTGAGAAAGTTAGACTTTGGATCAGAATGACCAGAAATGCCATATATGGCCCTTAGCGAGTCATAAAGCTCTGAGCTCCAGTTACACAGGAAAGCCCAAAAGGCATAGATGTGGAGTTCATGGGGCTCTTGGGGAGAGATTCAGGTATAAAAATACTTGCTTGCCCTGAAAACATATGTTTGCCAATTAACTACTTAAAAGCTGTGGAAATCTAATTTATGTAATTAAATCCTATTTCATATACACCAGGGGAATCCTGGAGTGAATAATTTTATAAACCTAATAATTATCTTCTGAGCTGTTTCATTTCAGATTTTGGGCCACTGAGTTTGCTTAAAGTGAGGGGCACCTTACCCTGATCTAGCTAGCTTCAGCCTCCTTTTGCTCCTTAATGGTATAAGCTAGTGACAGGGATGAAAAGTCCCCTGGGGTCTACAGCCATCTCAGCTCTTGATCAAACACTCTTCACTGCATTGATTTCTATCTGACGCAGGGCCTCCTCTCCCCACCCCCAGACTCTGCCAGTAATAAGCACCAGGATTGAGGGGGTTGCTGCCTTCTCCCACCTTTGCTATAGGCAGCCTTCTAATACCTGCTCTCTCCAGCTGTTTTCTTCAGGAACAGGGGAGAACAGCTGGAGGAAATGGGGGGGTGCAAGAAAAGGAGGTGAAGGTGATAGTGCAAGTGGAAAAAAGGCAGGAATGGTGTAACAGTGTCTTTCCCCAGGGATGGTGACAGATCCTAGTTGCTCTGTGATGTCTAAGCTGAATCCTGCCAATTAAACTACAGACCTGGACTCCTGCACAAGTCATCGGGAGAGAAAAATAACAACCTTCCCTGCAAATAGTCACATAGAAAGATATTCAGGTTCAAAGTCCATCCTTGGCTAGCTTTATGCCTTTTTTCTCATCTTTGTTTTCTCTCTCCCCACCCCCTGTAAGGTTTCCAGCCCTAATCTCATTGCTTGTGTCTCTTGGAATTGGCATCTCTATCCATCTCAGCATCTGATCTCCGACCCTCCGTCTGCATTGAAAGCTGGCTGCTGTGGCCACCAGCCAATCAGGAGGACGGACACCTGCCAAGGTCATCTCCACCAAACCTCCTTGATGGAGCCCTCTCTCTCCTCCCTCCTCCCAGAAATGCAGCTGTCTTCAAGGTCTGGCCCAGAGTAAGAAAGGAACTTGGTTTTCTGAAGGGCTACCATGCAACAAGCTGACTGGGGAGGCAGCAGCCAGATGTGACGATTTCTGCAGTGGTCCAAGGCAGGGGCAGTCCTATCTGTCAATGGTACTAGTTGGAGGGTTGGTGAAGACTTAGTGCAGAGATTAGTGACAGGTAGATTCAGATTCTCCTATAACCTGTCTTTCCCCATCAACCCCCCAACCTTACCCCCTCCCATTCCTCAATAGGGGCTGAGTAAAAGGCAGTAAGGCATAGTATGGTAGAGAAAGTGCATTGAACTGGGTGTTAAAAGATGCTTAATCTCTGCTATCACTAAGTTGTGTGGCCTTGGGTAAGCAAGCTCCTTTTCTGGGCTACAGTTTGTTCAGCTGCAAAATGAGAGGTCTAGGTTTGATGGTCTCTGAGGTCCCTTCCTGCCCTAATATTTCATGACTTTTATTTCTTCTTGCACATTCCCAGGGAAAGAAATCCCACCATGTCCCATTCCAATCCTGTTATCAACTCAGATGGAAGCACACTGAAGGCAGAGATTGTATCCTGAAGATCCTACTGCCCAGTACAGTGTCTGTTGCTCACTCACAGAATGTCAGAGTTGAAGGGACCTTTGGGATAATATAACCCAACAGGCACAATTAGTGATCATCCAATCTTTGCTTGAAGACCTCTAGTGGAGGGTCATCCACTATCTACTGAGACAGTCCATTACATTCATGGACAGTTCTAACGGTTAAGGAAGTTTTTCTTCTCATAAGCAGATTTAACTTCTATAATTTCCACCCAAATCAAGTCCTTAATCCTCAATACACAAGCCAAAATACCTGGGTAGCCCTCTCTCCCAGGCTCTCCAGGGAATCCATCCTGTCCTCTGTCTCCTTTCTGGCCAGGAAGGTTAGCAAGACCAGGCAAGCCTGGCTCTCCTGACTTTACCTCCTCCTCCCAGACAGGCACTGGGGGCCTGGTGTTCTCATGAAGGAATGGATCGAATTTCAACACATGAGCTAGGGGAAGAGAAGAGAAAGGCACTTGGTCACCTTCATTCTTCAGAGAGCACTGGAAGAAAGAGAACCTATGGACTGGGGTCCCAGGGAAAGCTGTTAGGGAGGAAAGGGGAGCAAGGCTACAAATGACGGATATCTAGGAATGAGGGAGGTGGGATGAGAATTGGGATCGTGTTCTAATTCACTATACACAAATCACTCAAATTCCTCTGGGCCTCAGTTTCCCCATCTGTAAGAGGAGAACAACTCTCTCTGAACCCTGTTGCCTTATGGGAAAGGCAGAACAGATAGGAGAGCCTTTTTATTCACTTGGAGGGAGGTGATATATAAAGGCAAATATGTGGAGAATTGGGCAAAGGTATGGCTCTTTGGCTTGGGGGGCTACAGGGCAGGATGCTATGAGGCAAGAAGATAAGGGCATAGGTCAGGAAGAAGAAGATCCTCGTAGGATTTCATTTCATACTTTTGCCATCATCTTTTCCTGGGTAGCAAAAGGTTTCAGGTCCCACTTGTTCAAAGAGTGTGACTTCCCTAAGGGAATTATCGCTGTGACCAGTCCTGACCCAGTCACCCCCTAATCATTTGGAACTTTGAGAAGAAGGCCCCAGAATGGGTGCCAGTTACTAGGTGGGCAAATCATCTAACTTGTCTCTATCTCAGTTTCCCAAACTGTAAAATGTGGATAATGATAGCATCTACTTCACAGGGCTGTTGTGAGAATCAAATAAGACCACATAAGGGCTTTGCAAAACGTAAAGCAGAATATGAATGTGATTTGTAGTTGTTTTGTTATTATTACTCACTCTGAATCAACTGCTCACAAGCCTGGCTGACCAACTGGTAAATGGTGGCAAGGGACTGAGGTTCTCCCTAAGAAGCAAATATCATTTTTTTTGTACGGCACAACAGTATGATAAGAATTTAATCTACATAGAATTTGAAAGTTAGGCTAAGTTAGTGAGCCATGAAAGTCTAAAATGGGCAGTGCTATAGGCTGTGTTAGGAATAGCAGAAATAAACAGATCATAACCACCCTTCTATTACATGGTGTACATTACACACGAAAGTCTGGGGTGAGCAGCAGCCTGGTCTGAGAGCTCTGGACATAAGGTCAAAGAGTCTAAGTTTTTATCCTGACTATTCATGTGACTCTTGACAAATTACCATCTCTTTCTGGGCTTTAGTTTCCTCATCAATAAAATGGGCATAAAGATACTGGCATTGCCTATCTCATAGGTCTTTGGTATATGGCGTCCGGTAGGCATGAACAAGATGATGTTTGTAAAGTGCTTTCCAAATTGTAAAGTGTTTTGTAAACTGCTCTGCAAACTGTAGAGTGTTTTATTATTATTACTTATTATTATTGTTATGATTACTACTACTACTAATAATAATAATGGACATTGCATGATCCCGCATGCCCTGAGAACTGGCATGCAGCTTAAAATCTGGACTGCAAGGTAGTGATAGCCTTCTGCAGGATTGCTGACCGGGTATGGAACAGGACAGTGAAAGGCCTTACCTTCTCTCCTCGCTCTCCTTTAGGCCCAGGAAGCCCCTGAACAGGAAGGAAGGGAAGAAAGACACACATCATTATCACAATTCTCAGGAATCCGAAAGGAAACAAGAGGAAAACTCAACTGAGGGTGTCCGGAGTCTGAATCTCACTCAGGGTGATCGCACCTATGACCCTGTGGCCCTGGCTAGCACTGAGGCATTCTGGATGTACCTAAGTGCTTGCTCTTTGGAGGATGTGAAGGCCCCCTCCTGAGGGCCCCTTCATCCAGTGCTTGCTGTTCCAGTCTCTTTAGGTTCAGTCTAACGCTTCCTGGGTGGGACTGGGAGAGACAGACAGACAGATAGACAGAGATAGAATGAGAATGAGGACGTGAGCAAGCACACAGCAAAAGGCTTGGAGAATGTGAGCATTGCTCATACGCATTCCTGTGTTTGCTCTTGTGAGTGTATAAACACAGAGAGAAGCTGGGAATATGCAACCCACTGTGCCTTATGTTTGGATGTGGGCTCCATACATGTACGTGAGGATGTGAGGACAAGTTTGCAGCATTCAAGTAAGAGGGCAGCTGTGTGGATAGGTATTTGAGCACAGACAGACAGATAGAGGTTTGGAATATGCAACACTGTACGTTCATTCCGGCTGCTGTCCCTGCCTTGGCCTGAATAAGCTAGCCTTCTGGCCTAATTCAAGATTTCAGGAAACATTTGATTGGCAGAAAGTAGCTGAATTTTCTTTTCTTTCTTTCTTTCTTTTTTTTGGCAAGACAGGCAAAGAACATGGGGAAATATTGAAAGCTGAGACCCTCTTCAAGGTGGAAGGACAGAGGCTGAGAGAGGACATGAAACAGTGATTATAGTCCTGGGCCTTCAATTCCACAGAACATAATGAGGTGCCTTTCTTTGAATCTGAAAGAAATCAATTTAGGACAAAGAAAAGGCTATCCTACTTCATGTAGATGGGAATCAACTTAGGGACTCAGTGCTTCCATGTTGCACAGACTGGAAATACAAACAGCTTCAAATAAAATTTACAAACATTCACATCTGTCTCATCTTTATATCTCCCAGAGCCCTGAACACTAGGTCCTGATAGACACTTAAGGAATGGTCATTGAATGAATGGGCTGGTTATGAAGGATGGTCAGGAGTATTTATCAACATTGCTAACCTTCAGAGAGGACAGTGAGAAGGGCAGCACGACCTCCTCAGATTATCTGGTCTCCCCTTCCTTCGCTGCCCCTTTCACAGTTATAATTCAAAGTTTTAGGGGCTTTAAGGGCACTGCTGACATTCTGGCATTTGCTTTCCCCCCTGGGTACTCAATGTCAGAGCTTTGCCATGGGTGCAGTACACACTGGTTCTTGTAAACTCCAGGCCCAAGAGTTCATTTTTGTGCAAACCACCTTCTGCCTCACCTAGGAGCATCCAGAGAAAGGCCAGCCTCCAGAGGTCCTCTCCTTGGAAAGGAGCAATGTCATTCACACGGCATTTTGCCAGGATTGGACAAGCTTCTGACTCCAGGCAAAATCTCCCCTCCCTGCTGGGCATTTACTGCACAAGCTAGGGGCCTCTGGTGCCTGCACAGCATGGGTAATTGGGGACTGCTGCAGGGTACCAGGATTTAGGAAGCTCCATCCAGCATTCCAATCCAAGAGACAAAGCCAAGGGTGCTTCCTCCCAGCCTCCTGCATCCAGCCTTGAGATACAGAACAGCAGGAGGTCTTGCTGGCGTATCATCACTGCTCCTAAACCCAAGGACCGAGTCCAGCCTATCCAGGTCTGTTCCTCTTTAAATAAATCTGGTATATACAATCCCAAGCTTTTGTTAACAGCTACATGGGGGGGGGGGTGCTGATGTTTTTCTTTATTTTAAAAAAATTCTTTTAAAGAGAAATAACCTAGGTCATAAAAATAGGATTCTTTTCCTAAAAATTGCTTTATAAATCTCTTTTCTACAATCCACAAAAGGAGGCAAATCCATGAAATTTCAGCAACATCCACACCATTCTACTTTCCCAAGCCCTGGACCCCAGCCTCAGTATACTCTATACTCACCGTGGGTCCCACGTTTCCAGGGGGTCCCTTCTCCCCATTGATACCTCTGGCGCCAGCTATTCCCTGAAAGCCCTGCAAATGGCAGCAGACACCACGACATCTCAGCCCACACTTCCAGCAAACACAGGAAGATGAATCTTATTGACTCCAAGTCTAGCATTCTATGCCGCTGTGCTCTTAGGGAAGGTAACTTCCTAGGGCTTCAGTCTTGTATGGGGTTCCCCTTCCTAGCTCAAGAACCTATAGGAATTCCCCATTGCCTACAGCATGAAGCCTAGATTTTGTAGCACAGTATTCAAGGCCTTCCACAATCTAACCCTAACCTATCTACGCTGCTCTTTTACGTGAACTTTTTGTTCCATCCAGGTCATTCTCTTCACTGTCCCTAGGACATAAACCTCAGTTTCCTCATTTGTCATATGGGTGGGGAGGTGTGGATTGGATGCTCTCTGGCTAATCCCTGCTAGCTCTGTCATGTGAAGCCAGTGCCATGTTCACTCCCATCTGTATACCTTTTCTTATCCTGCTTTCCTTATCTGTAATGCCTTTCTCCTCCACTCCACATTTACCCATCATTCAAAGCTCATCTCAATTGTGACTTTGGAACTCACTCTTTGTGCCACAGTGGCATGAGATCAAGGACATATATGTTTGAAAAAAATATGTAGAGAGATTGTGTAGTGGGAATAGAAGATGGCAGACGGGCAACCCAACTGTTAGGGGAAGCTGGGTACTGAAGTGGACAAAGCACAGGACCTGGAGTCAGAAAGGCCTGAGTTCATATCGGGCCTGAGACACTCATTAGCTTTGTGATCCTTGGCCAATTACTCAATTCCCCGTCTGTAAAATGGGGATAATAATAGCATCCACCTCCCAGGGTTGTGGTGAGAATCAAATGAGTTAACATATGTAAAGTGCTTTGCAAACTTTAAAGCACTATATAGAATTGGTAACTCTCAACTACCATGGTACCCTCAGTAAAAGAACAAGATGAAAAACATCAGTTCATTGGATTGATTCTCTATATGAACTTCATGGGAAACCATGGACAAGAATTACACAGGATGAGAAAGCATGGTGTTGTTGTTTTTCAGTCACGTCTGACTCTTTGTGACCCCATTTGGGGTTTTCTTGGCAGAGATATTGGAGTGGTTTGCCATTTCCTTCTCCAGTTCATTTTACAGATGAGAAACTGAGGCAAACAGGGTTAAGTGAGTTGCCCAGGGTCACACAGCTAGTAAGTGTCTGACATCAAATTTGAACCCAGGGCTCCAGGCCTGGCACTCTATGCACTGTGCCACCTGACTGCCCAAGAAAATATGGAGGGGGCTTCCTTTTTCACCAGCAAAAGTACTCACATTGCTGATTCCACTAAAGCAATGATGTGGTTTGTTTGCTAATTAGAGAAATAGCCGGTGTAATATGGAAAGAGTATTGGCTCTAGGCAATCGGGGCAGAAGCCCTGAGTTCAGAACCTACATCTAATGCTTACTACCAATGTGGCCTTGGATAAATCACTTGACCTCACTAGGCCTCAGTTTCTTCATCTGTGAAATGAGAGTGGTTGGACTAGACGGCCACTTCGGTCCCTTTCAGCTCTGTAACTGTGATCCTATTCCATGTTGGAGAATCTTGCATTGTCAGGTGCACTGAGAGACCTGAAATCAGGGTCTGCTGGGTCTTCTCTTCCTTCGTGTCCCCCGAAGTTAGACAGCTTATGATATCCCTAGGGCAAGACCCGTATTGGCTCCAACTCTCCCACATCATAGACAAGCTCAAAACTCGCGCGTGGTAGGCATCAGAAAATCCTGGTTGAATTGATTCTTGGGACCTTATATGGAGGTTGCTCCCTCCTCTTCTTATCCTCCTCTGCTCTTCCTCCCATCCCTCCCCTTTGACTCTTCCCTTCCCCCCCCATGGTCCCATGCACTGGTGAAATGTCTGATAATTACTTCAATGCTAGTAAATTGCCTAATAATGAACAGCAACAAAAATTCTGATTAGATTTTTAAAGGCCCCAAATTGCTTAGGTTGCTACAGGAAATTAAAAGTGAAAATGACATCATGGAAGACAGTTACCTCTCCTTCCCTGAAACTCTCTGCCACATCACCCCTCCCCCCTAAAAAGGCTAGATCCTGGCCTGGAGGAGCTATGGGGATAACCCTGGGGGCATTGCTGATGTTCTGATGTTTTATTCTTCTGTTCTTGTTTCAAAGTTCCCTGCACAGTGCCCCCAGCATCCCAGAGGCAAGGAACCAGAAAAATCCAAGCGAGAAAGGAAATCACTGGAAGGTGTGGAGCTTGGGGGGCACAGACTGACAGCCTGTCCACCAAAGTTCCCCTGATCTAGGAGTGACAGGCTGCTACTCACTGAGTGGGGTTTCATTTCCACCTCCCCCCAGTGCTGTGATCCTCATGACAGGAGCATGGAAAGTATTTGGCTCCAGGGCCCTGGGGATTTTGGCTCTCATCTTTATTCTTTTTCCTCTGCCTGCTCCCCACCATACTCTGCCTCCCGCCCCAATTACATGAGGGAGACAGAAAGTTGCAGAGAAAGAACAAGTGAGAGGGGAAGGCGAAAGAAGAGGAAGAAGGGGAAAATAGGAAAGTCAAGAGAAGGACAAAGGGAAGGAGGAGATGGAGAAGGGGAAAGGGAAGAAGAAAGGAAAGAGAGCAGCAGGGGATAGGGAAAGAGAGGAAGAAGGGGAAGGGAAAGAAAAGAAAAGGAGGAGGGGGAGACTGTCAGAGCTTTCCTCTCACCCTTGGGCCAGGAGGTCCTGGAAAGCCAGCTGTACCTTCAAATCCCCTCATCCCCTAGAAATAAAAATCAGGGTTTAAGGATTAGGCCTGAAATTGAGTGTGGGTAATTGTTCCTTAAGAGGTAGAGAAGAGTCAGGTCAAGGTCCTCAGGCACGCACACACACACACACACACACACACACCCCACAACACACAGCACACATGCTCTTATGTAACACATGCTTTGACACGTCAATTCCTGGTTTGGGGGAACCTTTTGGGGGACCATTCTATGTGTCAAAAGCATTTTTACCTTTGGACCTTGGAGGCCGTGTCTCCCAGGTGGTCCTTGGTGGCCAGGGTGGCCCTGTAGGAGGAAACCCTCAGAATTTGAGCGTAGAGGAAGAAGGGTCAGGACCCCTGGACTCTCTAAGGGTCAAATGCTTTCAAAGTCCTAGACTTTCTGGGAAATATACTCCATGGTAGTAAGAAAGGTTCCCATCTTCCCTAGCCCAGTCTCCAGACAAAACACCCATTTTGCACATAGTACCTGTAAGCCTGGATGTCCAATGTCCCCCTTCTCACCTTTGACCCCTGGTGGACCCTATACAGGGACAAAACAATAGGACTCTTTCCTACAATTGCCCTTGATATTAATCTTGAATGTATAAAGAAATAGTCAGCAGGTTGGGAAGTAGGAAGGGAATACATAGGTAGTTTTGTAAGGGGGTTGAGAGTAGAGGAAGGGAGAAGGAAAGATTACCTACCTCAGGTCCCTGAACGGTGAGACCTTGAGTCCCTGGTGACCCCTGCTGGCCTCCAGGGCCCTCTGGTCCAGTCTGTCCAGGTGGACCTGGTTCTCCCTAAGGACAGAGAGGAGATGAAAGATGAAGCCACATCTTTTCTCACTGATTCTGCAATAAACTCTCAAAAGCTTCCACCCTGAGATCCAATCAAAGCCGAACTCTGTAGTTAAGCACTTCAAAATCCTCTACAATCTAGTATGCCCTTAATAGTCTGACCTTATATTCTACCACAATCCAAAGTGAACCTTCTCCTCCAGCCAAAACACCGCTCCCCATAGGAGGGAAGTAAGTACAGATTTTGTACCTTTCACCAGGGGCAGTTGGGTGATGCAATGGATAGAGTGCCAGGCCTGGAGTCAAGAAGACCTGTGGTCAGATCTGGCCTCAGATACTTGTACTAGCTGTCTGACCCAGAACAAGTCACTTAACCTGCTTGCTTCAGTTTCCTCATCTGCAAAATGGGTGTAAACCCTGTTCCAAAGCCCATTGGTATGTAACTCTTTCCTTTTTGGTGGATATAAAAGTCCTCCCCTGCATGAGGAGAAGCATAGAGTTTTCAACAGGAAGGAACTTCAGCTCTTCTGTCAGTCCCCCTTTGGGGACTCATCATTTGGGTGCTCCTGGCTTCCAGCTTCAGAAGAGAGGATGGAAGTGGTCAACCCTACTTCATGTTGCTGAAGAAAAAGACTCTGGGAAGGCATGAGAGAAACTGGTGGTCTCTATCATGTCCTTATCTTGCTACTCTAGAGACTTTGGGAAATTACCCCTTGGGTGAGATCAAGGACACTCTTTCTTGGTTGAGTGGCATTACATTGCATCCAGCATATATTCTCTTATGCATAATTTCTCTGATTTTTGTTTTGCTATAATTCAGATAAATGGGCTTTGGGACAGGAGTTACATGGAGATGCTAATCATAGCACCTACCTTCCAAGATAATCCAGCACCTTCCTTGTTGTAAGGATCAAATGAGATAATGCTCTTAGCAGAGTGTCTGGCACATAGTGAGTGCTATGTAAATCTTTATTATCATCATCATCATCATCATCATCATCACCACCATTATTTATACCCCTCACTAGAGGCAGCTCGGTGATGCAATGGATAGAGTGCTGGGCCTGAACTCAGAAAAACCTGAATTCAAATTCTGCCCACAGATACTTACCACCTGTGTGACCCCATACCAGCCACTTAATCTGTCTGCCTCAGTTTTCCCAACTGTAAAATGGGGATAATAACAGTACCTATCTCTTTTGGTTGTTATGAGGATCAAATGAGATAATAATTATAAAGTAATTAGCACAGTGCCTGGCACATAGTAGGTGCTTAATAAATGCTTTTTTCCTCCCTCATAATTATAACCAAAGAGACCAGGTTCTGGGGGTCCTGGATGACTTGATGCCAGGAGGGTTTAAATTCACAAGCAAGGACAAGAGGCAGAAAAAACCCTAACTTTGCCACTTGCCACCTGTGTGACCTTGAACAAGTCACTTAACTTCTCTATGCCTCAGTTTTCTCATCTATGAAATGAGGAAGTTGGACTAGATAGTCTTTAAACTCTCTTCCAACTCTCCATCTGTGATCATCTAAGCCTATCATCCTAGGCCCGTATGGTCTACTGAGTTCCAGGGAGCTGGCTGAAGGTGCTGAGGCTCCTTAGCCCTCACTGTCATTTTCCTACTTCACTCTCAACAAGGAATTGACAGGAAATGGAATTGGTTCTGACCAGTACAACCAGGAGGGAGGAGAAGAGCTGACATCTTGTGGCAAGAGCTTATTTTCCAGAGGGAAGAGCAGAGCCTTGTGAGCAGAGCAGAGCAGAGCATGGGGAATTTATCCCTTATTCACGGTGAAACTCACTGTACACTTAGTAGGCATTTGCTAAATGTGTGTTGGCTTGAATTCACAGAAGTTTCCAAGCTTTGGTTGGCCTGGGAAAACTGAATGGATATAAAATACTGGCACATCCCAGGGCTTGTGTGTAGGCAAGGACTATTCCTGAAGAGGTCATAGGATTATAGTGGAAAGCCATCTTAGGGATCATGGTTACAAGAGAGGGAACAAGGATTTCACATTGGAAGCTTATTTAAAGGCCATCAGGTCTGCTGAGTGAAGTGAGCAGAACCAGGAGAACACTGCACACAGTAACAGCAACATTGTGTGATGACCAGCTTTGTTAGATTTAGCTCTTCTGAGCAATACAATGGTCTAAGACAATTCCAAAAGACTCATGATGCAAAATGCTATCCACATCCAGAGAAGAAACTATGGAGTCTGAATGCAGATCGAAGCATACTATTTTCTCTTTTTTTCCTTTCTTGTGGCTTTTCCCTTTTATTCCAATTCTTCTTTCACAACATGACTAATGTGGAAATACGTTTAATATGATTGTACATGTATAGCCTATATCAGAATGCTTGCCCTCTTGGGGAGGGGGAGGGAAAGAAAACATTTAGAACTCAAAATCTTAAAAAAGTGAATGTTGAAAACTAAATATAAATTAATCAATTTAATTTTTTTTAAATAAAGGCCATCAGGTCTAACATTTTCATTTTACAAATGAAGAAACTGAGAACAGAGAAAGTAAATTGCCTGACATCCACAGGTAGAAAAGCCAGTATTTGAACTTAGCTGACTCCACCTCCACCATTCTTTTTCCATTGCACCATGAGTCAGAAAGTATCTCTAAGTGGTATGGCATGGAGGCCATTCTCTGTGGGAGGGGTGGGGGAAGCACAGCCCTGGGGAAAATCAATCACATTTTGTCCTGCCCTCTCCCCATCCCTGCCCTTATACACAGAGATGATATCTGTGACAATGAACATAAAGGGAACCTTAGCGCAAAGGGTTCTTCACATTTTTTGGTCATGTGCCCTTTTGGCAGTCTGATAAAAACAATAGACCTCTTCTCAAAAGGATAAGACAGAGTGGAGGGCATTATTGCTAGCAGCTAACCTGAGTATCCCTGATTCTGGGATATGTAGTGCTGAGAGTGAATGCTGTGAGCATTTATGTATGTGAGTTTCAGGTCCTTTTTAGTCCCCACTGCTGGCTAACCCTTTTTTCTCCCCTTCTTGCCTTCTTCCTCCCCTGAAGTTACTATTTCTAGCATCCTTGTCCTCTAATGTGTGAGCCATTCCCCCCAGTATATCAGGGTGGGTGGGTCACCCCAGTTTATCATTATGAGGGGGTTTGGGGAAGGAGGGTTCTGCTTCCAAACTGTGTCTGCCCTAGCCATGAAGATTAGTGTTCATGGAAGCTCCAAAGTTTGGATTGGTTTTCTACAGACTTGAGAATTCACTACGGGGCAGGGCATGATCATGAAATGGGGAGCACAGAATTTCCCCAACAGAGAGATTGATCCTTCTTTAATTCCTTATCCCTTAAGCTTGGCTGCCTTGCTTCCCTGGGTGTTGGCAGTAATGTTATCGTCAAAGTTAATTAGTGCAGTGGAACTGTGTCTCCTTCCCCTTCCCTCCCTCCTTCTCCCAAGAGAGGATTCCCCACCCCCATTCCAGCCCCTGCAGCAGCATATTCTGCTGACTGGTGCTTCCTTGATAGTCTGGCACTGGGTAGAAGTTTTACATGGAGATTCTGGGGATCCCAGCAGCCAGAGTTTAATGACTTACTTACTCTAGGTCCTGGAGTCCCTTGCTCCCCCTGGATGCCTCTCCTCCCTGGGGTGCCCTGGAGAAGTATAAAAATCAGCGTTGCCAGAAAATCCAGAACCCATATGTATCACCTACTCATTGGGGAGTGAGATAAATCATAGCTCATCCTCATTATTTCCTGTACAATCAATCCCTCTAGGCACAAATCATTCCTTCTGACAAAAACCACCCAAGTCCCAACAGAGCCTGGCTAGAAGTCTTGTGGGACCCACCAGCCAGGGCACTACAGAGGGGCTTCTTATTTCAGGGCTGAGGGGGAAGGAGGGTAATGTATATTTACCATATTTTGTCTTGTCCCAGTAAATCCATTAATTGGAGTGAAGTTTTCCAGACAAGAGGAAGGATAAATAGGGAAGGAGAAAGAGCCCTGGACTGAACTCAAGAGAGCTGAGTTCTAGTTGTAATTCTGTCACTGACTAGCTATGTGACTTTGGACAAGCCCCTCTCTGGTCCTGTTTCCTTCTCTGTAAAGGGAGGGAGCTGGATTTGCTGATCTCCAAGAGAAGATGTGTTATTCTGTGCTTTTACAGATGTGTCAGACTTCATGAACCCTGAAAACAGGCATTCCAAGCAAAGAACAATATCTAAAGGAGCCTAGGTTCTAGAGGTGTTCTATGTCACAGTGGAGCTGGATTTAGGATGAAAGAAAAACATCTTCAGAACTATCTCCCAAGAATCCCCTAGGTAAGGCAGGATGAGATAGGCAGTCCATTGATCTGGGCTCTGGATGGGCGAGTCCAGTCTCAGAGTGGAAGTTCACCCCCATTCAGCCCAGGTGCTGCAGAAATGTGTAGGGCTTTAATCTTACAAAAAAGTGGCTGGTCCTGGGATTCAGATTGAGGGGGTTTAATGAGATGCTCTGCTCATTAGGCATGAGGCCAACTCCAGCCAAAGAGCTGCCCTAATCACTGGGATCACTCTTGACTTTCTCTATCATTTTCTTTCTCTTCTAGCACTCTCTCTCTCTCTCTCTCTCTCTCTCTCTCTCTCTCTCTCTCACTCTCCCTATTTTCCTGAGGTGAACAGATAATCTCTGGAGACCTTTCACAGAGGGGTGAGGCCAATTGGGGCTGACTCTGGAGGAGTATAGTTGGCCACCATTATTATTTCAACCACTCCCCACCAAACAGATCTAGAATTTTCCTTTCATTTTCTGGTCACCAACGGCCTCAAAGCCGGGATGACCCAGATTCAAATCCTATCTCTGACATATACTGCCTATGAGACCTTGGGCAAGTCACTTAATTTCTCTGTGCTAGGCAACTCTCTAAGACTTAATTGCCATATAGGCGCTAACCTGTATTGGTATATGGAAGTTTCCTTACTTTATAAGTAAGGTAATCCTTATAGAGAATTCACTATAATGAAGAAATCCCAGGCCTACTCTCTATCCTTATCCTTTCCTTACGTACATTCCAATTATCCATGGACCAAGGTCTAGAAAGGGAATCCCAGCTAATAAATCACAGAATCTACTTAAATAGAGAGAGGAGGAAAGATAAGGAAGGGCCTTAATTTCCTCCTGACATGAGCCTTTATATGAAGGAAGCTTGGGGAAAACAGTGCCTTGGAAAGGCTGCCTGGTACCCCCAGGCCTTTAGCAAATGAGTAATATATTGCTAATCAAAACAACCTTCCACTTCCCTATCCCCATGCCCACTAAATGCCCAGTCCTAAAGCTTTGATCTGTGCAAAGATAATCAGATAATATATTTTTTGGACATGGCTAATGTGGGAATTTGTTTTGCCTGATTATGCACATGTGTTACAAAGGTTTTGTTTTTCTTTTCTTTTTCCAATTTGGAGAGAGAGATGGGAAGGAAAGAAAACAAATATTAATTTTAAAAATAAATGAAAGTTAAAAAAAATCTGCAGACAGAGATGAATACAAGTAACAATATTCTCAGTGAAGGTACGGCAGCCAAGCATCTGGGCCTGTGGTAGATATTGCTAATGGGGTCACCACATAGCCATCATGTAGCAAAACATGTGTTCAGAGATTGGGCTGTTTGGCCACAGTAAATGTATTTCAATCTTGGAAATAGATTGGTCTTGTACTAATACCTGACCTGGGTCCATCTTAAATGGTGAAAGATTGAAACTTTGGAATAAATGAGATTTTACACCTGATAGGGGGTCAAGGTAACTCCACAGTAAAATTCTCTCTGGTCAAATCCCAACATGATGAAGTGTCCAAGATTCTTTGTTGTATCAGCATTCATTCTACTATATCATGTCATAGAATTGAAGGGTATTAGGGCTGGGAAGGGGTCTCAGAAGTGATGAATGTTCAACTTCTTCATTTAACTGTTGGGTATATTGAGGCCCAGGAGGATAAATTAACTTGTTTTCTTTCATGGCAGATTCCATTCTAGAACCCAGGTCTCTGACTCCCAGTTCCATGTTCTTTCCTCTAGTGGGCCATCAGACAAGGGCTTGAAGAACTCAAATTTCATTGAACTAACTTTGTAACAGTTTTTACCATGACAGAACCTGACCCATGTTTCTAAGACAGCTTCATAGAAAGGACAGACAGGCCTGACTCACCCTTCTGCCCTGTGTTGTGAAATCCTCAGTGATCTCAGGTTGATCTAGTCCTGAGAGGGTATGAAAGGTGAGAGAGGGGAGAGGGCCTAATGATTACCAGATGGTCAAGCCCATCTCTAAGATTAGGGTCAGGTTCTGGGAACCAGCTAAGTGCTTATAGGATTAAGGGGGACCATTTCTGTATGTTCCCATTGCTTGGCAAGAGTATGGTTTCCCCCACAACTGTCCTTCTGGGTCAGACAAGTGTCTGTGGTCATAGAATAAGGAAGGGAAAGGTGAACTTACAGGGGGCCCAGGAGGCCCTGGAGGGCCAGGCTGATCTGAAGGACAAGTACAGGCAGAAGTCAGGGCAGGACAGGTTTCTGTGTCTCTCTGAAAAGAAAGGAAATATATTTGCCCACTTACACACATTTGTCTAGAATCTAATAAATTAAGGTCGCCATATATGCAGGTTGGTAAATGGAGGGGCACAAAAAACCTTTTCTAGCCCAGGACACCCCACTCCAGTAGTGGAAGTGAGTGCCTGCCTGTCTTGGAGTGATTGTCCAGACTAATGGGGAGATGCTAAGTGAATAAGTGTCCCCAAGTTCTACTATCCCAAACACAATTGCATTCATTCTTTAGCTCAAATGAACCTCCTTTGTGAAGCCTTCTTGATTCCCATCACTCCTCTCAATTGAATATGACCTCTCTTGTCTCTGAACCCCTATAGCACTTTATTTGTGGCCTTCTTAGGATCTTTACCACATTCTGTTTTTTATGCATTTGACTTTTTTTTTCCCATTTGACCATGGCTTATATATTGTTTATATATTATACTGAGCTTTGTACATAGTAGGTTCTTGTTAAATGTTTGTTAAGTGACCAAACAAATGGGGAGATGAATGAACAAGTGAGTCAATGAATGGGGCAATGAATGAAGGCATGTTATCATACCAGAGCAGGGACCTCACAGCATCTGTCTTCCTCTGCCCAGGTATCACTGCAAACAATCTGCAGGGCCTGGAGCTGAAACTAGGAATGCAACAAAGATGATGGTGTGATCAGTATTGTACATTGGACAGATGGCCAACTTGGACTCAACCAGGATGAGTTTTAGGCAAAGCTATGAAGTCAGCCAAGATTGTTGTCCCACCGATCATAGCCCCAACAAGAAAGGAAATGTGCATGAGCTTACAGTTGCTGAGCCACTCCGGGGGCCCCTGGCCTTGGTTAGTTTTCCCAACATGACAAATCCTGCAGTTGATGAGCTCCCTGCCTCATTGATCAGCCTCTCTGTGACCTTCCGACAGTCAATGTAGAGCTTGACCTTGGTGCGACTGACTGCCACATGTACCTGCCAAGGAGAGAGCCAAGCAACATTGGCCCTAGTGCTTTGTAGGGGATAGAGGAAGTGAATATAGAAAGGGAAACTCTGATTAGCAAAGATCACCTACCAGGTCCAAAGGATGAAGCCCTTTGCCTAGAAGCATAAGGCAAAATGCTACCACCTGAGAAGCAACCAAGGCTGATGACAACTCCAGAATGGCAATAATATTCACAAAGCCATCCCCTCAATGTCATCTTACATCACACCTTCCACCTCTGCTGTCCCCGCTTCTTCCCAACCCACTCACTTCTCAATCCTTTACAATCTGTCTTTTCAAGTCATCGTTCTACTGAAATTGCTCTCTCCAAGGTTACCAGCTGTCTTTTAACTGTGAAATCAGGTACCCATTGATTGAAGAATGGCTGGAAAAAAAACCTTTTACCATAGTGTTATCATGAATGTAATTCAGGGATTATTACGGAGAAAGAAACGGCAAATACAAGGAATTCAGAGAAGCAAGGGAAGATTCATATGAACTGATGTAGAGCAAAATACCTCGCTTCAGAAGGATGGAGACCATTATGGCTGAATGGTCAATATACTGTCAGACACATTTACTGTATAAGCTGTATTTGCTTAATTGTTTTTCTTGTAAGATAGGGTTCAATATGAAGTGGGGGTGGGCTGCATCCCTTCTGCCTCCTAGATTTCTTTTTGGATAATCTGCAAGCATCTCAAATGTGGCATGTCTAAAATTATACCTCTGCCAAACTTCCATTTTTCTGCTAATGGCACCATCCTCACCCTGGTCATCCTGGTTCATAACCTTGGAGTCACTCTCAACTCATCTCTCTCTGTCTCTAATCCCTCCCAGCCTGTATCCAATCAGTTGCCAATTCTTGGTGATCCAGTCTCTTGCACTCATCCACTCTTCTCACCACTCAGGGAGCCACAGCCTTCTTTCAGGTTCTCCCCTTATGACCTCTCTTCTGTACTACTCTATTAACGTTGGAAATGGTAACTTTGCTGCCACTCTCCCCTCCAGAATTCATCTTTTGCACAAATGCCAAAACAATCCTCCCAAAGCACTGACTACGCCACTCCTCAGCTCACAAACCTCCAGTTTCTTTTCCTTCTCTCTAGGATAAAACGTCAGCTCCTCATTCTGGCCTTTCAGACCCTTCACAATCTGACTTCCACTTCCTTTCCTTTTATGAACTCTCTGCTCTTGCAGAGAATGCAGAGAATGAACTATTAGCTGCTACCCAGACTTAATACCCCATTTCCAGCCACTGCTCACTTGCCAAGCTGTTACCCACACCCAGAGAGTAATCTCTTCTCATCTGGACCTCCCAACTCCCAGAATGCCTAGCTTCATCAAGGCTTAGCTCGGGTGCCACCTTCTCTTGAAGCCTTCTCTCTGATCTTCCCAGTTGTTAGTGCTTTCTCTGCCCTCAATTTTCCCCATGCTATACTTATTTGTTTATGTGTCATATCCTCCAGTAGACTATAAGCTCTCTAAGGGAAGGGACTATTTTAATTTGTATTATTTTGTGTTTATTATCACTGATACCTAGAACAATGCCTTACACATAGTTAAACTGAATTTAATTGAATCAAAGAACTTTGAGATCATTTAATCCAGAGGTTCTTAACCCTCATATCCAGGACCATGAATAGATTTCATGGTGTCTTTGAACTTGGATGCGGGAAAAATTAGACCTGTATTTTCACTAACCTTTAATTGAAACTTAGCATTTCCTTTAATTAAAAAAAATTTACTCTGAGAAGGGGTCCCGAGGCTTTATCAGGCTGCTCAAAGACTCCACAACACAAAAGAGATTAAGAACCCCTGATCTAATCCAAACTGCTCATTGTACAAAGGGGAAACCGACCCAGCCTGGGAAGTAGCTTGTTGTAGGCCCCAGAGTTAATGGATGACAGATCCAGGACAAGAGCCCAGTTCTAACTTCTAGTCCAGTGTTCTTTCTTCTCAGGAGCCCAAAATCCTAGCCCCAGCATTGTCACTCACAAGCTATATTATCTTAGGTAAGTCATTCTCCCCTCCCCTACCATGATCCTCTCAGTAAAGCATTTAGCTAATGAAGACAGAAGATTTACATAAAATGTACAGAGATGTGAGAAAAGAGTGAAAAGCTCTCTAGAAATGCAGTATGGGAAATGTTTCAGGCAAGGCAGAGTCAGAGAAAATTGGGCCCATAACAAGGGGACAGGATGGCAGAGGACCAAGAACCAAGTGGCCTGTGCTTAAAAACTCAGATCGGGGGCAGCTAGGTGGCACAGTGGATAGAGTACCGGTCCTGGACTCAGGAGGACCTGAGTTCAAATCCAGCCTCAGACACATGATACTCACTAGCTGTGTGACCTTGGACAAGTCACTTAACCCCAATTGCTTCACAAAAAAAAAGAAATAAAAAAGAAATAAAAACTCAGGTTAGCAACCAAGCTGTGACCCTCTTCAAAGTTAGGACCTTGTGGAAGCTCCCATAAAATATCTTCTTCACTTCCGGCAAATCAAATGTGACTTCTTGCAACTCAGCCTTGTGGTCACGATTGAAATAGGTCAGGGACTTTCTGCCAGCTGCAGGGGGAAAAAAATCAAATGATGACAGAGCAGATGACCCAAATTGGATACACCTTTCACCCTCAGTCTGTATGGAATTCAGGTGTCATGAGCCACTCCCAAACTAGTTCCTCAAAATGAATTGTAATTGTAGAGAAGGTGTTCACAATTGTTACACTGTGTTAATGATGGAACAAGAGGGCTGGAAAGAGGTTTGGGGAGAGAGGCAAACAGTAGATTTGCAGGCAACTCTCATTTATTTGTTCAAGTAGGTAATATTGCTAAAACAGTGACTAATTCCAAGTCACAAATATTTGTCTTCAGAATGAATGACACATCAAAAATAATGGTTTCATCTCCCTAATTATGTTTGACATGGGGGGGGGGGGTCAAAGTTGCAATTGATCTATTTGACTCCTAATTAATGGTAGATAGATAGTGGTGGAAAGAGGTGGGTTGGGGGAGGGTAGTTGGAGTTAAGAAAGAGGTAGCTCAGACGTCTGCCTAGGGTGACAGGGGTGGGGGAGGATAGGGAGAGATGGGCCTGGAATTAAAAACTTTCAGTGGATAATGAACACGCACACAATTAAGAGCTGACTGCAAATATTATTTGGTAGATCCTTAAAATGTGAAATTACTGCCTTCCCCAGCTTTCCACAGCCACTCAAGTAGCTCTGTTCTCATGAATTTCAGTTCACAAATTGTTTTGGGTGATTGAGGGCAAAAGTTAGGGGGGTTGGTCTACAGGCTTGGGCCCCTGCCCCTCTAGGAACCCCAAAATGATACCATCAAGGGTGACTCCAAGAAGGGGCTCAAAGGTCTCATCAGTGATCTGCCACAATGCGAAGGGCTCCCTAGGTGTCTCTGGGAGCACACGGAGGAGAAAGCTGATGGTGTGCTCCGGTGGGAGGGCAGCTGGATGGATTTCACTAGATTAACACAAAGACAGACACCCCCACCCCAGGAGAGATATTAGGGACAGCTCCTATCAGGGTACTGTCAACCTAGGAGTGGGGAGGACAGAACATCTTGACTATGTATGTCCCAGCTTCTCTAGGTGGTGGCAGAATTCAGGAAGTGGGGTGGGGTGGACAATGGTCTTTCTGAAGCTCAGGGTTCACTGCAGGAAGTATTGTACTAACCCTAACCCTCCACATTTGGGCTCTCCTAAATGGGAAAACATGAAAAGCCCAGCCCTTCTAGGGAGGGGCCTTTTGGGTCCCTGGCATTGCCCATAGAGAAGCCCCTTGAAGCAGGATCTTGGGATCATAGAATCATAGATAGAGCAGCAAGCAAGATGATCTCAGGCCATCTAGTCCAACCTCCTCACTTCACAGATGAGAAAACTGAGGCTTATTGAGTTTAAGGGACTTGCCCAAGATCACAGGTAGTAAGCAGCAGAACCAGGTTTCAAACCCAGGTCCTCTAAGTAATTCCAAATCCAGCCCATTCTCTACTGCATCATCCTGCCTTGATCCTACCTGGCTCGACGCATCAGCTGGACATCCCTGAAAAGTGTATAGGTCCAAGTTCCACTGAAGATAGAGGGCTCCATTGAGACCCCTTTGATGGATGCATATTCCTTTTCCACCAAGCCAAAAGCCTCCATCATGTCAAATCCTGGAACATTCAAAAATGATGAGTAAGAAGGGACAAATAAAGAGAAAGAGAGAGACAGTAAAGGGAGAAAGGAATGGGGAGAGAGATGCAGAGACAAGCAGCAGGGCAGAGAACGACAGTGAGGAGGATGGAAGAGAGAAAAAGAGAGAGGAAAAGAGAGAGAGAGAGAGAGAGAGAGATTGAGAGAGAGACTGAGAATCCCCTTGGTGGCAAAGTTTAAAATTTCCAATTAGCGGATTTATTCTTTGCCTTTAGTTTTTGTGATTATTCTATGACCCAAGTGGTGTTAATATGCATGCTATATGCAGATACAACATAGAGGCCTCCTTGTTCTCTTCTATCTGTCTTCTTGCTTACTTAAAAAACTGCCACTCTCCAAGTGACTGTGTCCTTGCTAAATAATATGCCAACTTAAGGGACAGCTAGATAGCGCAGTAGATAGAGCACTGGCCCTGGAGTCAGGAGGACCTTAGTTCAAATCGGACACTTACCAGCTAGCTATGTGACCCTGGGAAAGTTATTTAATCCCCATTGCCTACAGAATTAAAAAAAATAATACGCCAACTTCAAGGCCCTGTAAAAATGAACCAAGCCCTGTGGAACTGCCTGTTTAGATCTTGGGACCACTCAGCACCTGTTGCCAAGTGCTTGGTCTACCCTGACATCATCACCCAATGCCTTAGGCCCTAAGCATTGAAAGAGCCTATGGCCACTTCAGACAGAGTCATCCTAGCTTCTTTCTCTCCCCATCCAGACAGCCCCAAGAGATAGAATTACCGGCATGAGATTCCCACTGTGGGAAAGACATATTACCCATTCCTCTGCCCTAACAAAAATTTAATAAGCTGGTGTGTGTGTGTGTGTGTGTGTGTGTGTGTGTGTGTTTTAAAAAGAGATCAATAATGAATTTTTTCTTCCTAACATGGCACCAAATACCCTGTCAGAAAGAAGCATCTGCAAACTCTGTAAGGCTTGGAAGGAAAGTAATTTTTACCTCTGCCTGTCCCACCTTATGTTTCATATATCACAGAAATTTCTAATCCATCAAAATTGTGTTTCCATTCCTGGCTCTTTATGTCACTTATTTTCTCACTTTCTAGAGTCCTATCAGGACTTTCAGAGGTTTCTTCCTTCCACCATGAGCCAATCACAGCATCCTGGCTGGTTTTGCTCTGTCTTAGCTGGCTATCAAAGCACTCTGACTCACTCCTCATTTCAGATATTAATTGGTATAAAGCAGACGGTGAAATCTGAATTCATGTTTCTGGCTTATCGGAGCTTCCAGAAGGCAAGGGGTAATAGCCAGTTATCTTGAAGTCTAGAAAAGGAGTAAGTTTGTTTTAAAAGATCCTCTTACTAATACCCTTTCCTCCTACTCCTATTTTCACCATTCTATGGATTCTAGTAGCCATTATACATTTGACATCTTTAGTAAGAGGAAGATTGGATACAAAATTACACGCAGTGTGTGTGTATCTGTGTAAGACATAAAGAGAGACAGACACAAGAAAGAGGAGGAGAGGAGGGAGGGAATGAGAAAGAGAGAGAAAGAGGGAGAGAGAGAAAAAGAGAGAGAGGAGGAAGAGGAGGAGATATTCTATGGAATAGAACACTGGAGAGAGAAGAAGACGAAGACTAAGAAGAAAGAGGAGGAGGAGGAGGAGATAGTGATACTAGGATTGTATTGTGTACAGAGGAACAAGGACAGGAGGGAAAATGAGTCTGAGAGACCAGAGCTTGGTACAACTACCAAGGCACGGTTAGGAACAGTACATAAATAGGTTCCATACCTGGCAGAGAGCCGTTAGCACGGAGAGCTGGGCAAGCCGCTAAGAGACAAACAGAAAAGGTATTTAGGGAAGCAAGTTTAGCCCATCAAGTAACCAAGTACATCAGAATTGTCACTGGAACAGTATTTTGTAACTCATTCCTAGAGTTTAGGAAATACCAACCTCACATCAACTTCATATGTAAATGCAACTTATTACTTTATAGAGGAAGAAACTCAAGATCAGAGAGGTTTAGCAGTTTTCCTTTAGTCACACAGAAAATATTAGAGCCAGAATATATGCCTAGTAGTCCCTTAAAGAGGTGAGGATTCTTTCTGAAATGAAACTCATTCACTATACATAGATTACTCTCAGTTATCCACAAATGGGAGACTGTCTGCAGATTTTTCCTGCTCTACTAACCAGCTGGTCCTAGGCTATTGACCACAGTGCTGATCCGGTCATTGAGAACCCAAGTATATCTGCCCAGAAGAGTGTTCTGCCCTGAGCCTAAAACTAAGTTCTAAAACTAAGGGCAGCTAGGTGGCGCAGTGGATAGAGCACCAGCCCTGGAGTCAGGAGGACCTGCGTTCAAATTTGGCCTCAGACACATAATAGTTCCTAGCTGTGTGACTCTGGGCAAGTCACTTAACCCCAATTGCCTCACCAAAAAAATAAATAAATTCTAAAACTAAATGTCAGTCATTTGGGCATTATTCCTATCCTTGGTCCTCTCCACACAAATGAGAGCTGTCAACTTTTTCAGACTTCATTCAATGAATGAGTTGTATAAGTCCATTCATTCTAGAGCAGCCAAAATCTATTGTTCTGGAAATAGAGAGGGAGCCTCTGGGTGAGATTGCAGAGAGAGAAAAGACTACTGTGGTGAAAATGAAAATCACTTACCTGTTTTCATTCAAAAAAGGCAGAAAACAATAACCAAGCCTGATTAAATCTTCGTCTCAAGATAGGACTAGAGATTACAGAATGACAGAAAGAACCTTAGATTCTATGGTCCGACTCCCTCACTTTAACGATGGGGAGGGATATTGAGGCCAAGGTCACTCAGATATTAAATACCTTCTCTAGACTCCTTTCGCATACTTCCACAATTCCCTCCTTATGTGCATATCCAGTCTCTGCTCAGTCACTTTGAAAGATGGCATGATCACTACCTCATAAGACAGACCGGTTAATTATTGGGCACCTCTGGAATTTAAAAGCCACCCTTGAACCTGCAGTCAATCTCAGTGACATGTATGAATGACCTGGAATCAGTCTTCTCCCTGTTCACATTGTAAGCCTCATCTCTCATTGTGGAAAGCAAGGTCTGTTAAGGCAGTTTCAGGTGGGATAGAATTTTTTTGGAAGGATGAGAGCATATTAACCCCTTAAATCATATCTCATAGCAATATTCTGTTCTGTCTATGTATAAGGCTGCCCCTACCTTTACTATGTTTCTTGGTAAAAATCTAGCATTTAGAATAAAATGAGCAAAAAAGAATTCCTCTGTTCTTCCTAGTCAGACCAAATCTGGCATATTGAGCTCAGTTCTAGGTACTACATTTTAAGAGGATCACTGACAAACTGTAGAGTGTCTGGAAAAGAGCAACTGGAATGGAGAGGGAACTGGATACGACATCTTATAAGAAATGGGTAAGGGAATTAGAAGGATTTAGCCTAAAGAAGAGAAGACTCAGGGGAGACTTGGTCACTGTCTCCAAATATGCAAATGACTGGCAAATATAGAAATGACTGGCAAGTGAAAGAGGGATTAGACTTGATCTGCTTGGCTTCAGAGGGTAGGGTGAAAGTTATAGAGAGGCTCAATCTGAGGAAGAACTTCCTACCAAGCAGAGCTGAGTAACCATGACGTGGGCTATATTATTAAGCAATATGTTTGCCATCTCTCTGAATGTCCACTTGTCAGAGATGTTATAGGCAATCTTTGTACATGATAGGAAGGTGGACTAGATTGACATCTGAGAGCTCTTTCAACTCAGAAATTATAGGAGTATATGAGAAAGGGCAAAAAGGGCCAATCAGTCCTATTGCACGTGATAGCTACTCTTTGCTTTTTAATCCTCCAGACACTGTATTTTGCAGAATTGGGGACCAGGGAAGCTGCAGATGAGAAGTCAAGGGTGATTTGTAGATTCAGTTTCCTTAATCATTTTCACAGTCACCAATATAATCAGCCCTCATGACCTTAAAGGCTCCTCATGAACTGTGGTTACTATATCTGCAGCATCTGGTAATTTGGACACAGCAAACAGCTACCTCTATAGAGTGAGGCTTCTAGCTGCCAGTGTCTGGCTTCTGTAAAATGTTTTTGAACAAAATAAGTGCCCATTGACTAGGAAATGGCTAAAATATCTATAGTTCACGAATGTAATAGAATATTTTTTTACAGTAAGAAGTGGAAACTATAAGAAATTCAGAGAAACATGGGAATAGTTGCATGATCTGATGCAGAGTAATAAAGAGAACCGAGAAAACAATCTATACAATGATAACAATGTAAATAGAAAGATCACTAGAAGGAAGTTGGACTGAATGATCAAAAAATCAATGGAGATACTACAGAACAGATAATAAAATACACCTATTCACTCATCAGGAGAGTGCTAGCACTGAATATTGTACACATAGACAGTTTACAATCACCGTATCATGTTGTTTGCCTAACTCTTGTTTTTTGACATAAGGAGACTCCGGGCAAGTAACTTAACCTCAATTTTCCTTGAAGACAGCTAGATGATTCAGTGATTAGAGAGCCAGGGTCTGGAGTCCGGAAGACCTGAGTTCAAATCCAGCCTCAGGCGCTTACTAGCTGTGTGACCCTGGGCAAGTCACTTAACCTCTTTTTGCTTAATTCAATGGTGAAGGAATAGGCAAACCACTCTAGTATCTTTGCCAAGAAAACCCCATTGGTATGCTATGGTCCAAGGGCCACAAAGAGTCTGTCATGACTGAACTACTGAACAATAACAACAGCGTCAACAGAGTGTGGGAAAGAGTTGAAATAATTGTTATGAAAAGAGAAAAGATATCAATAAAATGCTGTGTTTTGTTTTAAAAGAAAACAGCTTAATATGAGAAAGCCAGGGTAAGGAAATGGAGAGATCAGTTTCCAGGTGACTTAACATTTACAGTGCCACCTTAGTTATCCAGATTGATACATTATTCCTGCCACTATAGTTCAGAATGAAGGGAATGGTGGTCCTTTCATCCCCTGCCCTGGTCATGGTGTTTATATTTTAAAATATTTGTATTGATGGCTTTTGTTTTTATGTCGCTTTTATTTCTAAACATAACCTTTCCCTCACCTTTATCCATCAAGCCATCCCTTGTAACAAAAGTCAAAAAAGATTTTTTTTAAAAAAGCAATTTAGCAAAACTATCTAATATATTACTCCATCTGACAGTATATATAATGTTGCACACATATAGGTCTCTACTTCTGAAAAAACAGAAAAGGAGGTATGCTTTTTTCATCTCCTCTTTGGGACCAAGCTTGGTCAATATAATTACACTGGTCTTTATATCTAAATAGGACTGGCACATTTAAATAGCGCATTTAAAAGCTGGAGTTCATCCAAAATAGATTATCAGATAGAGGTGGGAGATGATCAGACAACACAGAGAGCTGGCTTATGACCTGCCCCAGTAAAGAAGAGAAGCTGGGTTGCTCAGATACAGTGTGACTAGGTGAACCCCTACATACAGTAATATAGACCCTTTTCCCCCAACACTGCCACTGGCTTGGTCTGGGCTCTCAACCGCTTGGTCTTAGACTACACAATAGCCTGCTGGTTGGTCTTCTTGCATGTCTCTCTTCACTCTAGTCTAGCCTCCACTCAGCTATCAAAGTGATGTTTCTAAAGTACAGTCTGATCATGTCACCCCACTATTCAGTAAACTCCAGGGACTCTTTATTACCTCCAGGATCAAATATAAAACCTTCTGTTTGGTTTTTAAAGCCCTTCATAACCTGGTCCCTTTCTACCTAGTATTCTTATGCCTTGCTCTTTTCCAAATACTCTGCAATCCAGTGACGCTGGTCTCCTTTCTGTTCCTCCCACAAGACACTCAATTTCCAAGCCCTGTGCATTTTCACTGACTGTCCTCCATGCCCAGACTGTTCTCCCTTCTTACCTCTGCCTCCTCCTTTCCTGGCTTTCTTCAATTCTCTGCTAACATCTCAGCTTCTGCAAGATTTTCCTAACTCCCCCCACCACATGTTAGTGCCCTTTCTCTGAGATTATCTTCAATTTATCCTGTCTATATTTTATTTGGACATAGCTGTTTACATGTTTTCTCTTCCATTAGATTGTCAGTTTCTTGAGAGAGAGAGAGGACTAAAAACAAAGAAAACTAAAAACTAAAAACAAAAAAAGAGGCCTTTCTTTGTTAGAACAGTGATTGACAAATAACAAGGTGCTTAATGAATGTTTGTTGACCTGAATTAATATGGGGGCACTAGTAAGGGCAGTTAAGGGGCTCAGTGGGTAGAGCACTGGGTCTGGAGTCAGGAAGACCTGAGTTCAAAATCTGGCCTCTGGCCTTCTAGGTGGAAGAAACTGCATGAACAAAAAGGTACAGAGGCAGAAATAAGCAGTTCAAAGGGTAGCCTAATAGATTCCCTTGAATCAAGGTACACCATCTTTTTACTTCCCCTCACCCCCACTATACTACTTCGAGTGTAGTCCACTTCTCCTTGTCCCTTGCTCTTTTCAAAAGATTGGTAAAATGAGCCCATGTCCCTTAGTGACCTTTGCCATCTCTAGGCAGCCCCATCCTCTTTTTCCAAGGCACTGTGTTCTTTGCTACAGTGAGCAGGAATCCACCCTTGAACCTTGTGCTAACCTCAGACACTCCCAGCAGCCTTCGGATCCTCTGGACACCCCCTAATGACAACTTTCTGTACTACAGACTCACCTATGCTCTGCCTCTGGCTCTAACCCTTCTTACCTCTGTCTCCTGGTTTCCTGGCTTTCTTCAATTCTCTGCTAACATCTCAGCTTCTGCAAGATTTTCCTAACTCCCCCCACCCCTTGTTAGTGCCCTTTCTCTGAGACTATCTTCAATTTATCCTGTCTATATTTTATTTGGACATAGCTGTTTACATGTTTTCTCTTCCATTAGATTGTCAGCTTCTTGAGAGAGAGGACTAAAAACATAGAAAACTAAAAACAAAAAAAAGAGGCCTTTCTTTGTTAGAACAGTGATTGACAAATAACAAGGTGCTTAATGAATGTTTGTTGACTTGAATTAATATGGGGCACTTATTAGTGCCCTTATTAGGGCAGTTAAGGGGCTCAGTGGATAGAGCACTGGGTCTGGAGTCGGGAAGACCTGAGTTCAAAATCTGGCCTCTGACATTATAATAGCTGTGTGACCCTGAGTAAGTCACTTAACCCTGTTTGCCTCAGTTTCCTCATCTGTAAAATGAGCTGGAGAAGAAAACGACAAACCCCTCCAGTATCTTTGCCAAGAAAAGCCCATATGTGGTCTTGAAGAATCAGACATGATGGAAACAACTGAACAAAAACAACCATGAGAGCCCTACCTCCTATACACACACCTAATGATTTCTCTCCTCTGTCTTTTTCATAATTGCTAAATTTCCAGCATTCATTCCTTATGGTAAAGCTCTCCTACTTTCTGTCTTAAAAAGAAAACACCCTTGGAAGGAAACACTACTCAGTCCTCCACATCATGAGATTATCAAAGTCTTTCCTCCCTCACTGGAAGGGCTCTGGCAGGATTAGGGCAGTGGGAGCCCAGAAGGAGATAGTAAAAGGACAAGAAATGGTTCAGCAAGAGGAAATAGAGCATGCTAAAGGCAAAATTAAGCCTGGCATAATAGAGAAGGCCCTAGGCTCCAAAGTCAAGAGATCAGGAGGTCTGCCTCCACCACTTACCAGCTCTGTGATCAAAAGAAAGTCATTCAATATTTTAAAGCCTTGATTTTCTCATTTCTAACATGTGGATAATCATTCCTGCCCTGCCCCACTTCACAGGACTGTTGGGAAGATCAGATGAGACCTGACATATGATTAGGCTTGGAAAGAAGTTAAAAGTACTTTTCTAGTTCAATGCCAGGATCGATTACCCCTCATCAGCCACTGATCACTGTGCCTGGAAATAGGGGTAAGGTTAGTGCACTCACCAGTCCTTCCTATGGCAGACACAACATTGCTCTCCCCCAGGTTGTAGACAGCTGAAACCATAACCTTGTACTTGGTCCCAGGGAGCAGGAGAGGAAGTGTCACGTGTTTCTCTGGGCCAGGAATTATGATCTACCGGGAATGGCAGAAGGAATTTTTGTCATCCAAGCAAGGATATGTCTGTCTCCATTCTGTTCATCATTACTAATTGATATATTGCTTTGAAAGTGCTCTCTTTGTTCAGTTATGCATTTTCTCCCTCATATTAAGGACTCCCTAAAGGGACAGCTATGTTTTCTTCCTAAAACTAATCTCTATCCCTTCCATCTCAGGGCAGAACTGTGAATCTTTCTTCAGACTAGTCCCCACCCTCTAAGCTAGGACTGTTTCTCCTTTCACAGACTAGCTCTATCTACTCTCAAAGACAGTATCTCCATTTCTCACCACTTCTCTTCCCCATCCCATACTATTCATCGCCTATCCTAGGACTCCATATAAAGGATAGCCTCTATAAAGTAGAATGAACTGGCAACCTTAATGGCACTTCAGTTGAGTGATTCTTCTCCAATTCAGCCTGGACTTACTGTTTTCTCAGGGCTAGAGCCAGAGGCCAGAGCATAGGTGAGTCTGTAGTGCAGAACGTTGTCATTAGGGGGTGTCCAGAGGATCCGAAGGCTGCTGGGAGTCTCTGAGGTTAGCACAAGGTTCAAGGGTGGATTCCTGCTCACTGTAGCAAAGAACACAGTGCCTTGGAAAAGGAGGATGGGGCTGCCTAGAGATGGCAAAGGTCACTAAGGGACATGGGCTCATTTTACAAATCTTTTGAAAAGAGCAAGGGACAAGGAGATGTGGACTACACTCGAAGTAGTATAGTGGGGGTGAGGGGAGGTAGAAACATGGTGTACCTTGATTCAAGGGAATCTATTAGGCTACCCTTTGAGAACTGCTTATTTCTGCCTCTGTACCTTTTTGTTCATGCAGTTTCTTCCACCTAGAACATTCTTCTCCATGCCTATTACCATCCCACAAACTAAAACTTAATTCGTCACCCCTCCATGAGTCCTTCCCTGATTACTCCAACACATTATGATCACTCCTTCACTTAATCATATATTGTTGTGACATTCTGATTCAATCAAATCGCACAAATATTTAATTAAGCAGTAGTATGTGCAGGGAGGGCATCATGTTAAGCACTTGGGAATTAGACAAAAATAAAATAGTTCCTGCCCGCAAAGATCTTACATTTTATTGGGAGATATAATGAGGGAGCAGATAAAAAATGGTATAGGGCTGAACTTGTTATTTCTTTGCTACATTAACAAACGCCCAGATGATAGCATTCCCTTTTTTTCAGGTCTGCACTTCCTATGCAATTTACATTCTACTTACAGAGTTGCCTAGAGCAGAGAGGTTAATTGTCTTTCCCAGAGTCTCAGCCAGTATGTGTCAGAGGCAGACCTGGAACCCTGGTCTTCCCAATTTGAGGCCAGCTCTGTAATCACTACAGTATGTTGCCTGATTAATATATTCATGATGAATTGAGGGAGAGGGAGGAGAGAGTATTAACAATTATGAGGAGCAAGAAAGGTTTCCTATAGAGATGACACATGAGCTGAGTATTGAAGGTAGCAAAGGATTCCCAGAAATGAAGGTGGAAAAGAAGGGAGTCCATTCCAGGCATGAAGTCAGAGATGGAATTTGAGTTGAGAAAACAGCAGGTGAGGAGGTAAGCTGGTTTAGCTGGAATGCAGAGTGCATGAAGGATTTTTACAAAGGCCTGTATTACCATTATTCATTCATTTTCATTAAGTATTTCCATCTTCCACCTCCTATTTTTCAATGCAAACACCCCTGAGAGGGATCTCACACTTAATCCACACTGTTTGTTGAATGAGTTTATATTCAAGATGTTTGATAGGAAGGGTTGGGCAGTATTAGGCAATAATTCTGCCTAGTTCCAACTCTAGACCTAACCTTGATTCTAACTGTGAAGAGGCAAACAGATGAGTGTGTATTTGATCCCAGAGACAATAGGGAGCCACCAAAGCTTCTTGAGCAGAGTGAGATGGTTGGACTTGTGCTTTAAGAAGATGACTTCAACAGCTAGGTGGAGAATGGATTGGAGAGGGGAGAAACTAGGAATCTGGTTAATTGGTTGTAGTTTTTGGTGCTAGAAGAGGACCAATTGTGTCTGATTGTGGCTGATCAGACCCAGGCTCTACCACAAGTTGGGTACAAATAGTCCATATGAACATTTGAAATGGAGTTGGCTCTAAATTTGCATGTATTGAGCTACTGCAATTTTGCTTTGCTCATAGAGTACAGCACTTTCTTTCTTTGATGAGGGTACAACATGCTGGGTGGTCCCACATTTCCCATATCTCATATTCAATTCCAAAGCTCTTCAGAAAGACTTTGAGGCGTCCTTGTATCTGTGTTCTTATATCTTGTACCTTGCATCTTCTAACTTTCATGTGAGTGTTTGCTTTGTGTGCATTCTCCATAAAACAGTCTTTTAGGCAAACATGCGTTTGGCATTTGAACAATGTGGCCAGCCCATTGGAGTTGCACTCTCTGCAACAGAGTTTGAATGCTTGTCATTTCAGCTTGAGAACAGACCTCAGTGTCTGGCACCTGATTTTGCCAGGTGATCTTCAGAATCTTTCTAAGACAATTCAAATGGAAGCAATTCATTTTCCTGGCATGGCACTGGTATATTGTCCATGAGGTCAGCACAATGGCTCTTTAGACCTTCAGTGTGGTAGGCAGCCTAATACCTCTTCTCTCCCACACTTTTCTTTGGAGCCTCCCAAACGCTGTGCTAGCTCTGGCGACACATGTGTCAACCTTATCATCTATGTGTACATCCTTGGAAAGTATACTGCCAAGGTAAAGGTTACCCACATTATTCAAAATATCTCCATTTGCTGTGACTGATGGTTCCAAATATGCAGTACTGGCTAGTGGAGAACCTCTATTTTCTTGGGGTTAATTGTTAGGTCAAAATTAGCACAAGCAGTAGAGAACCAGTCCATACTCTGGTGCATCTCAGGAATCTAATCTCTAGGAATCTAATTAGGGGAGCTATTATACAAGCGGGAGGTGATGAGGAACTGAATTAGGGTGATGGCCATCTAAGTAAGGAACAGATGATGTGGAGGTAGAATCAACAATATTTGCAATATTTGATTAGATATGGAAAATAAGGGGCAGGAAAGAGTCGAGAACGGCAATAAGATTTTGAAACTGAACGACTGGAAGTATATTACTTTGACTCTTATGTGTCTGTGTTCTGTCCCCTCAACTAGACTCATAGACTCATAGAATGTTAGATCTGGGAGGGACCTTAGAGATAATCACTTTGCAGCTAGGGAAATGGAGGTTCAGAAACAACTTATTTAAAGTCACACATAAAATTAGTGGCAGAGCTAGACTTAGGTGCTAATTCTAGCTCTGTGACAAACTCTCTGTGATTTTTGGTAAGTGACATATTCATATAGACTGCAAGTTCTTGGAAGGGTAGGATTATGTCTTTTCCCTCTCTCTATCCATCTTAGTTCTTAGCCCAGGGCTTTGTATACAGTAGGTGCTTGTCGAATGAATACATAAGCCTGGTCCTTAGAGGATCCCTTGACAGCACAAGAAATTTCATTACAAGACACTAAACTCCCAGCAGTGAATGTAGAAATCTCCAACTATCTCCAACCATCCCAGGGCAGCCTCTGGAGAGACTTTTCTGCCATTATTACCTGCCTGACCCATCCACCTGAGCTTACACCACATGAAGTGTCTTAGCCCCTGTAGTTGATAGGCAATCCTGTGTGTCACAAGCTGGAATCAGGGTTCTGTCTCCCCAGTACCAGCAGTAGCTTCAGGCTCCCAGACATAGGAACTTTCCTGAAAAGCCACTGCAATTTTTCCTCCAGGGACCAAGGAAGAAAGAAGACAGAGGAGGGCAGATTACTAACATGCCACATCCATTCCATGGCCAGTGAAGCCATTAGGCAGAGAACATTAATTAAGAGAATCTATGGGGGGAGAAGGTCTTTAAACATCATCTGCCATTTCCAGTGAATAAAAACCAGTCTTCAGATAAAGTGGTTCCTCTTGTTTTCCTAAGTGCTCTGCGTGAGTAAGCACTTACATGCTTAGAGAAAGCTTCACCTACTGTTCAGGTTAAGTGGAAAATCTGACCATAAACCAGTCATATTCATTAGACAAAGTCCATGTTGTAAATTAAGTGCCCTAGAACAAATTAGCCTTTTGGCCTCCTAAACTGTACAAGATCCCTTTGTAAAACATTGAACTTTAGAGCTGGAAGAGGCCCTAGAGATCATCTAAACCAACCTCCTTATTTCACAGAGGAAGAAACTGAAGCCCAGAGGAGGGAAGGGACTTTCTCAAGGTCAAACAGTGAATAAGTGACAAAACTTTCTGCCAAGATGCAATCAAAGCTTTATTATTTGTGTATAGTATTTCATTAGTGGATAAGCTAGGGTATAATGTTAATCTCAGACTGGCTTTCCCACCACATTTAGAAAATACCAGAACCCTCTTTTCCAAACATCTGCCTGGGTAAGGAATATACTCGATTTGCTATCCAAGTCACTGGGGGTTGAGGCAGGATTGGGGGTAGGAGCAGGAGAGATCGTATAGCCTATCCCAAAGTCCAATAGAAATAATTATTATATTCAAGAGTGTGCTGGAGACAGCTCAGATCAGCTCTGAAAGTCCATTGTTTAATTTTCAGCATGAGCATTTACACCTCGAAAGGCAGCAATCACTATAAATCAGGGTTAAATGTTTAGTTCTATTTATTGTTAATAATGCAGAGTAAGCTTGAAAGTGTGTCAGGAGTACATTTTTTCAGAGAGTTGATTGTTAAATATTTACCCGCATATCTTGGTTCATATTACTATATAATCATCAAAAGAGAGTATGCAATGGAGATTACATTCTCCAAGGTACTGTATTATCCACATCCCTATTCTTTTTTTCACTAGTGTGTATAACAGAGTGTATAACAGAATGCCGACCATCACACCATGATCATGGTATAGCTTAGTATATTCCAGGGTGTGCTGGTAAATGTTTAACAACCAACTCTCTGAAAATACGTATTCAATGATATACTTTTAAGTTTAATCTGCATTATTACCATTTTCTTCATCACTTTCTTAGGTCTGAACAATTAATGAAATAATAAATCAATCCCTGATTTGTAGCCCATTTTGCCCATTTTGGAGGTATAAAGACTTATACTGAAAATTTAACAACTGGCTTTTATGCCCTTAGGAGCTGGCTCCAACAGGACTCTGGTTATATTTTATATACAAGTATGTATATAGACTCTGAGCTGTGGTTCTAGTCTTATTTGGGTAGTCTCTCTCCAATGATCAAAAAGGGGAATTTATCACTTACTTGGAGTATATCTGAGGGATACTGTGTCACTGCGGGCCCCATCTCTGTAATAAGCTAAGATGGAGATCTCATATTCTGCATGCTTCCCTAGACCAGGCAAAGTGGCAGTGCCTAGGTTTCCTGGAACAGAAATCTGTGGTGAGAGAGAAAAAGAGGTAATGAGGGATAGAGAGTACATTCTCTCAGACACTGGGCTTGACTAATTTAGTCTGTGTGTGTCTACAGAGGAGATCTATCCAATTAAGAGATGTTGGATCTGTAGGTTCCTCATTTTTAGGGCTGAATTCCTCCTGTGCAGGGCAGGCAGGCACATATGTTGAGAGAACTTGGTGTATTTGGTGTAGGCCAGGGAAAGATGGTGACTCTACTCTATTGACTCTTTCTCTGGGGAAGGAGCAGCAGTAGTCCAAGCTCAAAGACACTTGCCCAAAGGCTTGGCCTTCAGTGAGGGGTCTGGCCACTTCCAGAGTTGCCTACTTTGTCAATGGGTCCTCCTGTCATGGGATAGGTTTTTTTTTGGAGGTGGGGAAGGAACTCGTGTGTCTCTTTTGTAAGACACATCTTTCAGACTCTGTTCCCATAATGCTCTCCATCTGGACCCCACATCTTATAGTTGCACCTCATAAGCTTTTCCTTCACCCAAGGGCATCCATTTGATCTGATAGACCACCACACCAGAAGCTGCAGCAGCAGCCCATTCCAGTCGGACATCATCCCCTGGCAGTTCGGTTACTTTTAAGTGGCTTGGGGCTGGAACTTTTCCTAAAGGGCAGAAAAAGGAGGGAAACTCTTGACCTTGAGTTTTGCCATTCCAGTGCCCACTACTCTTGCTCCTTCTTTGCTGTTTCCAGCTGCCTGTGAGTAGTTGCAGAGCAGATGGCTGGGGAGCTCAACAGTACCCTGACATCTGGCCCCAACTCATACTACAGCCCTCAAACGACAGCAGTCTGGGAATCTAGGGTCTGGCAAAAATCTTTGTAATTCACTGATTTCATGATCATTATTAGACTCCTGGGATAAGAGGAGCACATGGTGGGCAGAGTTGGAGTCGGTAGAGGGAAAGGAGACAGAAATAGGCTTCTATCTCTATAGGGGTTAAATAGATCTGTGAGACTCCAATTTTTCCATCTACACCCATCATGTCATCATTTTCCTCTGTCTTTCCTTAATTTCAGGAGACTCCATTTAGATTGGGATAAAAACTCAACCTATTTTCCTAGGACTTAACCTTGGTTTCCTAGAATCTTGTCCCACAATCTTAATGTTGTGTTTCTGACTTTCTGCATTTCAATTTAATTCAGTAAATATTTATTAAGCATCTCTGAATCTAGATCCCTGAAATTCTGTGATTCTATCCTCACAGAGGAGGATGTTCTCTCCCCAGGGCAAGCAGAGAATTTGTAATAATAGCTTATATTTATATAGGGGTTTAAGAGTAAGGGTTTATTATCCCCATTTTAAAGACAAGGAAATGGAGACTCAGAGAGATTAAATTACTTACTTGTGATCACACAACTGTTTAATGACAGATAAACCCAGTTCACCTGATTCCAAGGTCAATGTTCTTTTCCATGAGCTATGCTACATATCTATGGGGATGAATCAGGGAGAAATTTTGTCCTTTAGCTTAGAAAGATCTCACTACCTTACCACAGCTTTCTGTTCACTCACGTGTGGTCACTCGTCCAGTGAGTGTGGAGGAATCACCCTCTTTGTAGATCGATGTGACACTCACAATATATGAGGTAGAGGAGGACAGTGGGGCCAGCTTGACAGAAGAGGCATTCCTGGAGACATCTATCTACAAGGCAAAGGTAAGCTCTAGGCTTCCACAGCAGTCTAGGCTATAGACAGTCACTCCCACCCCCAGGGAGGATGGGGCAGCCACTTGAGGAGTATGCAATTTACTTCCCCTCCCAAAGTCAGTCAGGCCATTCCCAGGAGTACAGGGTACTGGATGTATCCCAAGGTTCACACACATCCTTCCTCTAGAAAAGAACTCACAAAATATGGTTTATAATGGATGGGAGTACATCTCCATAACTTTGGAGATGTATTATTCCTCTGTATAAAAAGTCAACAGGACAGAGTCTGTAGTTGTCATAGTATGTTTCTGTTACTCTTTGGGATATTTTTTCTTTTGTAGGTTAACTGAAGCCCTTGTCTATATTTAACTCTTGCAATTATACCTGTATATATGATGACTTGCCCCTTGTCACCTCTCCCAGTGGCTAATAGGAGGCTATAACTAGTTTGTTAGGGTATACATGGAACCATACTGACCAAGATTATGAGTTAGTCAAGCAGGGGTGGTGATTCCTGATTGGTTATGGGCTTGGCATGGATTGTAAAACTCTACAATAGGATTAACAAATAAAGCCAAAAGTTAAATGGAGCCAAGTCATGGCAAAGACAGTCCTAGGAATAGAGCAGAGTAGTTGAAATGGGTGAGTCACATGAAGGCATCTTCCTGAGAAGGTAGTCCACAGGGGCTAAACCCCAGATAGGCTTGAAAGAACCCAGATATTAGATAGCGCTCATAAGCTTAAGAGCTACCTGGACATCTAAGTAGATTTCTTTCATGCACTTTGATCACATGTAACCTCATAGCGATAATTCTGAATTTATTCCATTTTCTTATAAATAAACCCTGGAAATAGCACACAATCTCCTATAAGAGTGTGTCATAGAGGGAAGACAGAAATGAGGGTTAGAGGCTTTGAATGATAAAAAAAAATGATCACAAGAAGAACTGGAAACCAGGGAGCTTAGAACTAGTCAATCACATTTCTAGAGCACAACTACATTTAGGCTAAAAAGTTTCCCAGCTTCTAAGCTTTAGAAGCATGTCCACCCTTCCCTTGCTCTATACTGTTTCCTACTGCTTCCCTTCCATCCCCCTACTCCAAGCTTCTCATTCCACCATCTCAAGGTGACCTAACAAGTTGTCATTCTATGTCACTCACCTAGATTAAAGAAAGCATCACTCATTCCAGAGGAGTAGAGAGCTGAAGAAAGAAATCCAAGGAGGCCTGCGAGTTGTTCTATGGGACCCTCCGGGACTTGCCCTACCATGACTGAGATCATATTCTCCTGCTGGAAGCTCACCTCCCCAGCTTGGCTCCCTTCCAGTGAGACATAGGACACGCGGTACACACGCACCCCCCGCGATGAGGCCTCCCAGTGGACTCGAGCAGAGCTGTGGCTGACCTCAGAGAAGCTCAGGTGTTTGGGGAGATCCAAGGACTCTACAAATTCAACACCATGCGCCTAGTTAGGGACCGTGAGGATTTGGGTTCTTTAACATCTATCTTTGAATGTGCCTTCTAAGTTAACATACTAGGGTTGTGTTAGATTGTGGGGTTAATTTGACCGAGGAGGAGACAAATCTGAAAGGAAATACCTTGTTTTGATCCCTCCCTGCACTCCTGTGAAAGACTCCTTGAGAGCTCTCCTTCGTAAGAGGGTAACGCCCGTCAAGGAGAAGATGAAGGAAGGACGGGTAGCCGTCCGAAGTTTGGAGAAGGAGGGTGGAGTCAAAAGGACGAATAAAAAAGGAGAAACAGAGGATTTGTGAAAGAAGAGTCATCAGGGCGTCACTCACGGGTCTTGACTCGGATGCTCCGGGGCGCACTGACTTCCTCCCCAAAGAGAGCATACACAGCGATGCTGTATTCCGTGCCGGGAGCTAGACCGGTCAGCAGAACTTCAGGATCCCCCACTCTCACCTGGAGCACAAGACCCCAGTATGCTATTGTGGTGGAAGGTTTGATCAAGCGGAGCATGCATCATCCTCACCCCAGGACTCTCCCCTTCCCCATGACCATCTTCCCCATCGTTTGCTACTAACTTGCTGTGCAACCTTGGCAAGTAAGTTTCTCACGCTGGATATCCGTTTCCTGATGCATAAAATGAGGGGGTTAGACTAGTCCCAGCTCTTATAAAAACAAGATTAAGTCTAAACCTCTCCTTCCCACCATCATTCCCAAAATGTGCTCATATAGATTGGGACCACTCTGGAAAAATCGCTGGTTGGGTTTGGCCTCAGGACTCCAGCAACCAATTCAAGTGAGGGTTCCTGGGGAACAAGCTTGCACATACCTCTTTCCCGCTTTCCTCTTTCTCCTCCACTTCCTGCTCTCTAGGGGAAGCTGAAGAAGTGCAGTGAACCAGGTACTGGGTAACTTTATTTGTGGGTTGCCAGGTCAAGTGGATACTACTGTGAGTCACGCTGAAAATGGTCAGTGAGCTTGGTGGAGACAGTGGTACTGTCCAAGGAGAGCACGGTGTCAGAGAGAGGCAGGACAGGTGGGCCCCACATTAAGAAAACTCAAAACGGATATCAATCTTACAAAGGGGATGAATTGGGGTGGAGGGTAGGGAGATGGTGATGAACATTATTTGCATGACAGTAATAACTTAAATTTCAATAGTGTTTTAAGATTTATAAAGCCCTTTCCAAATAATCTCCCTGTGAGGGAAACAATACAAGTAGTATCCCCATTTTAGAAAGGAGGAGGCTGAGGCTGAATCATGTGGCTTATCCATAGCCACATAGAAAGCTACTATTGCACCCAGTATTTGAACCCAAGTTACACTATGCCGTAGCACCTTCTCTATTGTAGGAAGTGAGATCCATCTGCACATTCATGACATCATGCCATGATACCTTCTCTACTGTATGAAGTGAGGTACACCTGTAGAATTGTAGTTTCAAGTGGGGAAACTGAAACTCAGCAAGGTACCATGTCTTGTCCAGGGTCACAGAGCAAGTCAGCAGGATCCCCCCAACCCCTGCTCCCACTCTCCAGTCCTAGACCCTTCCCCCTGGATAACACTTGCTTGTATGACTTCTGGAATAGGTTTAGATCCCCTCATGAGATCTGGCATTATAATAACTCTCCCACAGCCTGGAGAAGAAGCTAAGAGCTTCTAAGTATTCAAAGATCCATGGATCCACTTCATTAAAGTCAAAGGTAAGGCCTAGCCACAGAGCTACTCCTGACCTACATGTAGTCACAATGTCCCGGAGCCCCTCTCCAACACCGTCCTTATAGACAGGAAGCACTGTAACCAAGTACTCTGTGTTGGAGGTCAAATTCTGCAGCTGGGCAGATGAGGTAACCCCCTCCACTGTGACCTGGAAGAGAGACAAGTGAGGACACAGCAACCTTACTCCAGTGCAAACTTACTCCAGTGTTGGAGAGGACCTCTCATATAGCATGGTGTAGTTGAAAAGTACTGGACTGGGGGCCAAGGCACTTGGGTTCCAGCCCTAGCCCATCTAACATCTCTGGGCCCCAACTTAGAAATTTGCTAGATGAACTCCATAAACACTTCTCCAGTTCTACTGCCCTGTGATTTTTTAAAAGTCTATATTGCAAACTTTAATTAATCAGAACTCAAAACTCATGAGAATCCACCTTTTGGGAAGCTAATCTATGCTCAAGATTAGGATTCAGAGGCCAAGATTTATTCTTTTTTTTTTTTTTTGCTTTTTTAGTGAGGCAATCAGGGTTAAGTGACTTGCCCAGGGTCACACAGCTAGTAAGTATCATATGTCTGAGGCTAGATTTGAACTCAGGTCCTCCTGACTCCAAGGACAGAGCTCTATGTACTGCATCACCTAGCTGCCCCTGATTTATTCTATTGATAGGGATATGGGACCAGTCTAGGGCTAGGGTTGGGTCAGTCAAATGAAATCCAAATCTGAGGACTTTAGGACGAGCTCTAGTTATACCAAATGAATATAAGCAAAGAGTGGATGAACTAGGGATACTTATCTAGTTATATGATTATCCTAGTTCCTGTCTCTTTTATCCAGACACCTGCTATCCCACCAATGAGGGGGACAAAAAGAAGGCAAAATGTGAACTTGACCTCTGCCACTAATGAATGGTTCCAACCAAAGGCCAAGATGAATCTTTTGAATTTTTTGCAGGTTTTGATCACCCATGTTCTCCTGGCTCCTCTTACCTCCCTGGGTGTGCCACCTCTGGAGGGATGATACACAATCCTGTACTTCCTGGCAGGCTCCAGAGGAGGGGTCCAGGCCAGGCGGAGCCCTGTGGCTGTCACCTCTGATACAATCAAATTCGTGGGGCTTGGGTGAGGCCGTCTATGAGCCGGGACACCTGCAGGTGAGTGTAGAGGAGGGAAGTAGGTGGGGTAACTCCCTTCAATGTACTCCTTCCTCAGACCCAGAAAAAAAAATAGGTCTCCAAAATGTTTCTCCATTAACAATTCCTTCAGCTCCCTCTGGAGGTCATTTCTAGAACTGGGAGCTGGGTATGGAGGGGAAAAGGATAGAAAAAGAGATTCCCTCCTTCACCCACTGGAACAATCTTTCTCTAGGTCTAGCAGATTCCACATCACTACACTGAGGTCACTGCTTGGACGGGGGCGGGGGGGGGCAAAGCTGTCAGCAAACGTATCCCCTCACCTAGGTCCCTGCTCCGGCTTCTCTCTTGGATCTTCCAGCAAAGGAGTCGGGTGAGTCTATTGGTCAGGTTGCCAAGGAGAGGGAAATCCTGGACATTGTGAACTGTGACATCCAGGGGTAGAGAGGCCAGGTGTGTCAGCTCAGACTCATCAGCATTCTTCACTCCTACACAAAGCAAATCTGGGGGTGAAGTTGCTGGGTGTGCCTAAGAACCCTGCTCCTTCCATGTTGTTGAGTCATTTTCAGCCATGTCCAACTCTTCATGACCCCATTTGGGGTGGTTTGCCAGTTCCTTCTCCAGCTCATTTTACAGATAAGGAAACTGAGGCAAACAGCGTTTAAGTGACTTGCCCAGCATCACATATCTAGTAAGTGTATGAGATCAGATTTGAACTCAGGACTTCCTGACTCCCGGCCCAGCACTCTTATATACTGTGCCACCTAACTGCCTCTGAGGCTTTTCTCTGATTTTCTTTTCCCAAGTTATCTGTCCTCCCCTGTAAAATGCAGAGAAAGCACTGTGTACCTCCTTGATAACCCTCCTTGTACACTGCCCTTAAAAGAAACTCTGAAAAGGAAGGGAGGGAGGGAGGGAGGGAGGAAGGAAGGAAGGAAGGAAGGAAGGAAGGAAGGAAGGAAGGAAGGAAGGAAGAAAGAAAGACAGTCTGTGTCCTCAAGGACCTCATATCCTAATAGGAGGAAATTACATATATAAGGGAATAGTGGTCAAGGAAGGATGTGTTTTCATCTGGGAAGACCCAGGAATGGGCACTCCTTTGACTCTTCCTTTACAAAGGCAATTGTAATGTTTATTGATTATAGTTTTTAGAGCAAGAGCATGAGCAGGAGGGGATGGTGGATACATGGTTTTGGGTAAGATGAAAAATTGCAAGAAAATAGTTTGCATATGTGCCTCATCTTCCCTACTAGATTATGAGATTTCCCGAGGGCAAATATCACATCTTATCCTTCTCTGTTTACCACTCAATGCTGGGCACATGGCATCAAACACAGTATTGTAATGTGTACTAGTAGTTTGATAGATCTTATAGATGAGGAATTCTTTTCCAAGGTAGAACTTCAATTTAGCAAAACTATCTTGATCAGAAAATGCTTTAAAGTCTGAAGGGCATAGGTCTCCCAGGTCCTAGGCTCTCATTCCTTCCCTATACTGTCTTGCTCAGTGATTTCATCAACTTCCATAGGTTCAATTATCATCTCTATGCAGATGATTGGCGGATCTATAGGCCCAACCCTAATCTCTCCCCTGAGCTCCAGTCCCACATTGCCAACTGCCTCTTGGACATCTCAAACTAGTTGTCCTGTAATTATTGCAAATGTAATACGCACAAAACAGAACTCATTGTCTTATCCCTAAAAACCCTACATTCATCTCAACTTGCCAACTACTGTTGAGGGCCCCAACATCCTCCCAGTTACCCAGGATCACAATCTTGATGTCATCCTCTACTCCTAATTCACACACCCCACATATCTAATTGTCTGTCATTTTAAATTAAGTATTGTCATTTTTTTAGAGAAGGAAATGGCAAACTACTTCAGTATCTTTGCCAAGAAAAATCCCAAACGGGGTCACGAAGAGTCAGACATGACTGAAATGACTGAACAACAAATTGTCTTTTCTACCTTCTTCATCATAGCTCTTGAATGTGTCCCCTTCTCTCTACTCACACCATCTACCATAACCTTCTTTAACACTATTGCGGGCCATTATCCCTTCATACCTGGACTATTGCAATAGCTTTCTCATTCATCACCCTGCCTCAGGTCTCCCAATCTCCAATCAATCCTTGACTTTGCTGCAAAAGTGTTTTTCCCAAAGTGGAGGTCTGATCATTTCACCTTCCTACTCAATGTCTATTAGTTCTCTATTGCATCAAAGATCAAATACAAAATGCTGTTTGGTATTTTAAGCCCTTTCCAACATCACTCCTACTTACCTTTCCAGTATTCCTGTACTTTACTCCTCTCCACATACTCTGTGATCCAGGAATGCTGGCCTCCTCCCACATACATAGTAGGACTCCTTTCCTGACTACTTATTCTCCATGCCTACAATACTTCTCCTCACCTTTGCCTCCTGGATTCCCTGGACTCGTTCAAAATTCAGCTGAAATCCCACCTTTTGCAAAAGGATTTTTCTCAGTCCCTCTTTCCCCTTCCAAAAGCCTTCCCCCGAGATTACCTTTGATTTACACTGTATATATGTTGTATGTACATAGTTATTTGCATGTTGTCTCCAGAATTAGAATGTGAGCTCCTTGAGAGTGGGACCATGCTTTGCCTTTCTTTGTATCTCCAGTGTTTAGCAAAGTCCGTAGCACATAACAAGTGCTCAGTAATTGCTTGTTCACTGATTGACTGACTGACCTTAATCCACAGAGTCACAGAATATTCAACCTGAGCAGTGGCTCAGGAAAAGCAAGTCCAGTCCCCTTATTTGCAGATGAGGAAATGAAGGCCCAAAAGATAAAGTGTTCTTACTCAAAGTCACACAGTAAGCAGTAAAGCTAAGACTGAAACCCAGGTGTTCTAGTTTCAACTCCAAATGCCCTTTCTACTCTACCACACTTGCCTCCCCTTTTGCTTACACTTGAGCTTCATGGAGTTTACTTAGACAATTATTATTATTTACAAAAATAATGATAGTAGCTAGTATTTATATGGTGCTAATTATTGTGCCAGGAATTGTGCTAAGTGCTTTATAAATATTATCTCATTTGATCCTCACCACAGGATTAGAAGGTAGGTGCTCTTATAATTCCCACCTCACAGTTGAGGTAAGAAAAGATTAAGTGACTTGCCCACAGTCACATAGCTAGTAAGTGTCTAAACCCTGGATTTGACCTGAATCCTGACTCCAGACCTAGAACTCTATCCACTGCACCATCTAGCTACCTCAAGGAAAGTGCCTGACCCTCTATCAGTGCCACCTCTGTCTTTCTGCAACTGTCAGAGAAGAAGAAATGGTCATGTCAGGGACTGTCAACCAGAGAGACAGAATCATAAATAGAAGAGTGGTAGAAACTTCTTGCATGCTGAATTGAGCCCCATCCTGTTCCACCTGCCCTAAACCCTAGATAACTGAGGATCAGAGATCTAACTCTGGGAAGTATCTCTAAGGTCATCTAGAACAACATAGAACCCTCATTTTATGAATGAGGAAACTAAGTCCCAACAAAGATTAAGTAACTTACCCAATATCACATATAAAGTCCAAGGTAGTATTCGAATCCACATCCTCTGACCTCATGACCTAGCATACTGACTAATAGAGCCAGCACTCTTTCCACTGTACCATGGGGCAAGAAAGGAATCTCCAAAGGTTGCATTGACCATCCTCTCTCTGCCCAAAGACCAACCCGAAACTAGAACTCTGATCTCTTGTGACCCCTAGGCCAGGGCACTTTATACCATCCCTTGCTCTCCAAAGGCTCACATTCTTTGGTTTTACTTTTGAGGAGAGAAAGCAGTAATCTTTATTCCCAAACAGTATGCATTCATGTTTGTGAAAAGAGAAAGATGCTCACAGAGGGCGAAAGACAGAGAGAGACAGACAAAGATAGATAAAGCTACAGAAATAGACTCTGAGATAAAGACAGTGAAACATGGACAGAGCCAAATGTTCTTTTAAAAATAACATTCTTTCATTCCCTACTCCTTGGAGGTTTAAGCTACTCCCCCACACCCACATCATACTAATAGGATGTCACACTAAGAGACCAAATTGTGGCACAACTGATAACTATAATCACCTTCATTTGATTTACACTGTGTACAGAGACGCCTGGGGAGAGGTTGTTGTGTCTCTGTTTGTCTTATTAAGATAATTGCTGATCAGTGTCTTCTCAAAACAACATTCAGAGCAGTCTGGAGCAGGAGTGCCAGGCATGGCCAGGGCACCACTGATAAATGTAATCCCTGGGACCAGACCAACCTTAAAAAGAAGTAAAGAAGGTGGCACACACTTAGAGTGTGATTTCAGAAACAAGACACTTCCCTTCCCTCATCTTTCTTTGTATTCCTAGCACTTGACACAGCTCTTAGCCCAAATGTTTGTTGACCTACTGACTGATTAACTGATTGACGGGCTTACTAATTGATTGACTATCCAACACAGTCACGGTATGTTTGAGCTGGAAGGCAGCTCAAAGAAAATCAAGTCTTCCCTTCCATCTGCTTGCCACTGGGACAGATCCCTGTCATTCTACAACCAGAGAAAAGGCTTAAAATGCAGATACCCCTTGGAGAAGGAGCACAATGACTGCCATTAATGTATCAGTGAAGTGCCCAATGACAGAGACTTTCCTGTGATCAGATCTTGATAATAGTGATGGTGAGGGCTAGAGAGAGTGGGATCCTGAATGGGGCAGAGGATGCCATGGAGTTGAGATAGAGAGATTGAGAAAAGCCTTCACCTCACCCACTTCCCAATGTTGATGCCAATTGACCAGACTTCTAAAATAACCCAGGAACTTGGACTTTAATGGAAAAAAAGAACATTAATACTCTGTACTTTGCATTCCCTAGAAATAGAGGATTGATTATCACAGAATATCAGAGGTTTTTATCCAACCTCAACTACTCTCTACTCTCATAATATGGCTGATGGAAGGTATCTCCAAAAAGGAGGGTCAAGTGCCAGGTTCTAAGGTATATCTTACCAATGGCAAAGATGTCCATGCCTAGGTCTTTCATAACTTTAGCAGCAAGTCGGGCATCATCCTGTGACTTGCCATCAGTCAGAAGAATCACCACTTTAACTGCCTCAGAGCGAGACCCAGCTTCAAGCTTCAGATTCTGCTCTAGTACATGAGTCAGTGCAAGACCTTTAGGGAAAATAGCACAGTCACAAACGAATATGAATAACACCTCTTTCATGAAGTAAACCCTGAATGCTGCTGCCTACAATGATCTTTTCCTTCTCTGAACTTCTATAACACTTAGAATCAAAATTTTAAAGTTTTGCTCTTAGGGTTATAGGATGATGGAGTTGGAAGGGAGACTTTCATACTTTATAGCTGAGGAAACAGGCTCAGGAAGGTTAAAATGACTTGCCAAGGATCACACAGGTAGTACATGCTGTTCTGATGGGTTTATTTCCCCTCTCCAGCTTGAATTTGTGTTCCCTACAGTCAGGGATTATGGCTCCTCCTCTTTTCTATAGTAGATGGATTTTATGTCCAGAAAAATATTTGCTAAAGGGCTGAAAAAGGAGTTACTGAATACTCCTATGTCTAGTGGTGATGAGAAGACTTTGACTGTATGCTCACTTCTAGATACTTTCCCCTTCCTCAGTTCTCAAGACACTATCTCTTGGTTCTTCTCCTACCTGTCTGAATGGTCCTTCTTGATGTCTTTCACCAGTTCAGCGTATATTTCATATCCCCAAAACCTAAGGATCTTCCAAGGCTCTATCCTGAGCCCTCATCTCTTTTCTCTCTATACTCATACCCTTGGCACTCTCAGCTACTCCCAAGGGTTGAATTATCCTTTCAATTCAGATAACTTCCAAATCCATATATTCAATTCTAATCGATCACCAGAGGTCTGAGCTTGCCCCACTAAATGACTGCTGGATGTCCTCTCAGCATCTCAGATTCAATAGGTAAAAAACAAACTCTTTGTCTTTCCCCTAAACCTCCCTCTATTTCAAAGTTCTCCTAGCTTGAAACCATAGCATCCTCTTTGACTTTTTCTCCTCCCTCCATATCCAATCAGTTGCCAAGACTTGTTGATTCTCCTTCAACAATATCTTTCACATTAGATTCCTCCTCTTATTATCTCTTGCCTGGACTACTGCAATAGCCTCCTAATTGACTTCCTTACTTCCCATCTTTCCTCTTGCCAAACCATCCTTCACACAGTTACGACCAAAATCATCTTCATAAGGTACCTTTCCCTCTTAACAAAAACAATACCAGAAGCAGTAGCAGTAACAACAACAACAACAACCTTTAGTGACTTCCTAGGACAAAATAAAAACTTCTCAGGTTGGCATTTCAGGCCTGCTACAACCTAGTTCCAGCTGTCTTTTTCAGCTTAACCTCATATATACTGGTGTCTAAGCCTGAAATGTACTCTCTCCTTATCCTTTCCTATTAAACATGTTCTCTTCCCTCAAGGTCCAGATCAGGTGCCACTTTTTTCATGAACTTTCCCTGAGCCCTCCAGCTAAAAATGATCCTTCTTTTCTCAAATCTTGCTAGAGCATTTTGGTCCTATGACATTCTACCTCGTATTATATGTTTTGTGTGCATCTTAGCCTAGACCTTCCTGCATTAGACTGTAAGCTCTTTAAGAGCAGAGGTTCTGTCATTTTTCATCTTTACAGCCTTGTAGCCCTAGTACAGGGCCTTGCAATTAGTAAGCACTTAATGCATGCTTATTGGACTTTTGTCCTGAACTTCTTTTATTTTGGGGAGCCCTTAGTAGATGCTCCAGGGAGAGAAGAGTGGAAAAATTGTGGTCCCTGCCATAGGTAGGCATGCAGAATAGGCTAGTTGTGCCTTGGTGGGTCAATACACCTGGTTGACCTTCTGTGCATACTTATGCCCCTGATTGGACAGTTCAATTTAGTTACTAGAGGCCACATGTGGCCTTCTAAGTCCTTGGGTACAGTCTTTTGGCTGAGTCCAAGTTTTACAGTACAAATCCTTTTATTAAGGGGATTTGTTCTGTGAAGTTTGGATTCAGTCAAAGGGCCGCACTTGAGGATTTAGAGGGCTGCATGTGGCCTCCTGGCCATAGGTTCCCCACCTCTGGTCTAGTAAGAGAGATAAGGACATATACATACACACAGCTTAAAAGTATTTTTGAACATATGCAAGCTAATGTGTGGTTGAATATGTAAATATATCATAATCTAAACAAACAACTTATCTAATAGGTAAAGAAGGTCCCCTTGGAGTTCCAGGATTTGCAGATGATAGAGGCCTAGGTTAAGGTGTGTTTAGAGAAGGGTATTTAAAAGGATGCAAGGAAGAAGGGGAAAGAAACAGCCCTTACTGTGAGTGATAAAGAAATGTTGCTAAGGTACCTGTGAAAGTGTTCCCACCCTTGTAACGGAGATTTCGCACAGCCTCTAGAACTTGATCCTTGGTGTTGAATGAATTAAGGTCCCATTCAGTCCGAGGATCTCCACTGTATTGGGACAAACCTGGGAGAAGGTGAAGGGAACCACAAGTATGGGCAACTGAGAGGTGCATAATGACAGCAGAGATGTGCTTCTGGACAAAATTACTTCCCCTTGGTGCTACTTTCTTCCCTGAGTAGTTTCCCCTGCCATTTGGACATATTCAGTAGTAGCTTAATTTTTTTTTTGCTCCTGAATATCTCTTGGAGGTGATAAATCCCAATTTCTCCTGTAGCAAACCCACTGAGTTCCCTCCCAGATGGAAGATCTTATTAGAGCATAATATGGGTAGATTGACCATATCTCCAATTTAGAATCCACTTTTTTTCTGAAAATTTTCCACTTGCATAGGTTCAGAGCTGGGCCCTTGCCCTTAGTCAAAAGGGTGTTCCTATGGAGCAGGGATTTTTAACCTTTTTATGTGATAGAACCCTTTGGCACTCTGGTGAAGCCCATGGATCCCTTCAAAGAAAAATGTTTTTAAATGTATAAAATAAAATACATAGAATTAAAGAGAAAACCAATTATATTGAAATACAGTTATCAAAATATTTTTTGAGGAAAAAAACTAACTCACACACATCAGGTTAAGAATACCAGATACAGAGGCAAGGAATAGCATTTTGTTTGCACAAGCACTCTTGGGGTTCCATGAGGAATAATATGAAGTCCTCAGCACTTTGTCTTGTGGTTGATCAACCAGACCAATGTAGAAAGCAGTGCAGCCTCTGCTTCCTCTTGCTAATGAAGAAACTGCAGAAGTTCCCCCAGGGAAAGCTAAAGAAGGGGGGTGCTGCTGGTTGAAGTATCCACATTTGATGTCACTGCAAAGCTGTTGTCTCCACTTATTTATCACTTCTGGTCTCTGGGGATTTTTATTTTTAATTTCAAAACCTAGAGGAATCAAGCTTTTGCTGAATGAGCCCCCAACTCCTGATTATGACTCTGGGGGAATCAAAGCCATTATCACCAAAGACATGTGAAGGGCCAACAGGAGAACAACCTTGTACTTACCAATTCGGACTTTATCCTGGGCAATGTGAAAAGGAGAGATGATGTTGGCCAGGAATTCTCTAATGAGCCTGAAGTTACTTCGACCAATACTCCAGGACCCATCCACCAAGAATACTATATCCACAGGAATGGAGGTCTCACAGTGGAACTGAGGGCCTTGGAAGATGGAGGCAGAGACAGCTAAGACAGAAGCAAAGAGATCAAAGAATTCTTTATCTAAAACTGAAAGGGATTTTATGGATTTATCCTTTCCAACCTCTTCATTTTACCACTGAGGAAACTAAGGTTCTGAAAGGATAAGTGACTTGTCCAAGGTCATATGAGTAGTGAGTAGCAGAGCTGGAACTCAAACTCACAAAGTCCTTTGGTTTCGAATCTAGCTATTTTTCCGTTGTACCCACACGGTCTGCAAGAGTGAGCTTGAGTAGGGCAATCTCAGAACCATGGACAGCTCCTAACGTTCTGCATGCTTGGCTTCTAGGCTTCTTTTAACTTTTAATTTTCCCTGTGCAGGTACCCCTTCAAGTATCTCAGGCTGCTTATATTAGAAGGGTCCTTAAATGATTACAGTAGGTAGCTGCCCAAAGAGGCTTAAACTTTATCCAACTACCTTCTGTGCTGATTTGTAGCAAAATACAGCTCTTTCATCTTGAGGAACTGCTGGACTGCTGGAGAAAATATAGTCCCAGACCTTAGGGAACCTTTCATTTCATGAGATGTATGCATGTATGCATGTATTCATGTGTGTGTGCATGCATGTACTCATTATGTATATACTACACATCTATAACATATGTGTATGTGTGTATATATACTGTAGTACATAGTTGTTTGCATTTTTATCCCCCCCATTAGATTGTAAGCTCCTTGAAAGCAGGTACTTTGACTTTTTTTGTACCCCTAGCACCTAGTATGGTGCCTGACACATGAATGCTAGTTTACAATAAATGCTAGTTGACTGCCAGATATTCACATACATTACACAATATATACATACAAACAATGCAATATATGTATACGTCATATGTACATGTATGTGTATCTTTTTGAATTGTATATGTATGCATCTACATGTATATATCATTGTCATTTCTCTCTCCCTCTCTCTCTCTCTCTCTCTCTCTCTCTCTCTCTTCCTGGCATTAGGGATACTTTAATATTATGGAAGAGGTGCAACCCCACCCAACAAATTCATGTCGAGATTTAGGACCAAGCAGCTAAGAAATAACAAGCATCTGTCTTTTCTCTCCTTTCCTTCCTAACATTTCCATATTACTTCATATAACTAACTACCTTCTGTCCTGATTAGCAGCAAAATATAGCTCTTTATCCTTGAGGAGCTGCTGGCCTGCTGGAGAAAATATAGCTCTGAACCTCTGGAAGGATGAGTCCCAACTTCTCTGCCTTGAATTTCTAGACCCACTAGTTCTTAGATGTGCTTTACAAGCTTTGTCATCATGGGGACCATCTCCAAGTGTCAATGGGTATAGGAGCTGGCTTTGAAGAATGCTTCCCTTGGGAGCCTTCAGCAGCTTCCTCTTTGACTTCTCCTGCTCTACATGGGGCAAGTATGGGAGAGGGAGGGTCCATAATTCAACTGAGTATCCTTTGGAGAAATCTGAGGACAGGAAGTGGGGCTAAGAACTGGTACCTGGGGACTTGGGCCTCTTTGGTCTTCTCTATGACTTGCAAGCACTTTTATTCCACCACACCCTGTCCTTTCTCTGAATTCCTACAGTTAAGTAGCATAAAATTGGTGTTTGTTTTGCATGTGAGACCAATTAAACAGTATGATCCATGAACACAGGGAGCATGCATTTTGACTCTTTTGTAATCCCCAAACTCCCCTAGCATGTGAACAGTCACATAGAAATGCTCAATAAACTGGCTGGTTGAATTAGCTAATCTGTATAAAGCACTACATGAATGTCAGCTAATAATGATAATGATAACAGTGATGGCAATAGCAACAGCAATGGTGAAAGTGATGATGATGATAACATAGCATAGATGACTTGCAATTTAGGTGTGGGGTGAATGCAGCTAATGACATTGCTATGAACCAGTGTTGAGGTCCAAGAAATAACTTGGGCAACCCTAAATTGAGTGACTCTACATTCCTCTTCTTTGCACTCCAAACCCTCTCTCTGGGTCTGTACCTACCTAAAGTGGGAGAGACTCCACTCCAAGTTGGTGAAGTTGCTTCAAGCTCAGGAACCTGCTCAACTTTATGATTTCCCACTGAAGAGGAAATGGGCTCCAGGGTTTCCCCTGATGGCTTCCGACTGTTCCTGCCCATGGAGATGCTCTTCAAATCCTCAACTAGAATTAATATGAAACATTACCTAGGGCCAAAGCCCAGTGGCAGGACTGTCACATTTATTATCTCTTCTGATTCGATATTACAGTAAGGTGGGAAGGATGCTTACTGTTATTCTCATCTTACTGATGAGGAACCTGAGGCTTAAACGGATGGAATAACTCACCCAATGTCACATAGTTAATAGAACCCAGGAGGGAGAGAATCAGGGACAGCTGTAGATGCTGATTCCTTCTGTTCAAATTTGCTTCATCACTTTGAGCCAATTACCTAATCTCTCTGATCCTCAGTTTTCTCATCTCGGAAATGGTGACAATAATTTCCAACTATGGTTAGAGACAATAAGTCTGTTGCATGGAATTCTGCCACCTTTCTCCGATACTTCACTTCATCCTCCTGCTTCCTCTCTCATGAGGGCCTACTTATGCCAAATATATGAAGAGTCCTAGGGAAACCTCACTTAGGGAAAGGAGAGACTTTTAAAGAGTATCACAAGACTTTAGAGCTGGAAGGGTCTTAGAGACCATCTAATATAAGCCCATCATTCCATTAAAGAGGAAATGAGGCTCACAGAAAGGGAGTAATGTCTAAAGTCACACAGCAATTCACAAGCCCACACAGAGCTAGGCCTAGAACTGAGGTCTACAAACTTCCAGCTCAAGATTCTTTCCATTAGACCCTTTCTACAGACCATGCTGACTTTCATAGCACGGGCTGTTTCACTAAGTTCATTCTGTTTTTTGGTCCACTGGCAGAGTTCTTTGGGGTCTATGCTCATTTCTGAGGCTGAGTTAGGAAAGAGAAAGCCTCAGAGGATGACACCCAGCAGGAACAACTTACTCACAAACCTCCGCCTGGCCAGCAGAGTGTCACGGGAGCCACTGAGTGCAAATATCTGGAGTGTGTATTCCTTGGTGGGGCTCAGTCCAACCACAGTGACTTTAGGTGTCTTGGTAGTCAGCATTACTTCCTGTTCTGAGTCCCCTTAAGGAGAGACAGTAGTCATTCAAAAGCTGCATCTTGGTTGAGGCAGGAACATATTGCTATTAATTACCCAGGGGTGGGGGTTCCCACTTAGAGAACACCCAAGTCTTTGATTTCCCTCATTCCCCCAGCTACCTCCTTCCAAATAGGACCAGAGAGAGAATACTCACAGGTCCTCACTGTCTCTGGGCACACTTCTGAATGGCTAGGTGAGGGATGTAGAGAAGTTATCATATATACTGTAGACTTTGGATTAGATGTGGATTACCCATATACTTCCTCTCATGTACTCCATACTCTAGCCAAACCAGATAGCTTTTCATCCTCTGAATATACCTTTGCTTTTCTGGCTTTGTGTCTTCCTATTCTTTTCCCAAGCCTTAAATGTCTTCCCCCAACAGCTTTACCAACTTAAATCCTGCCCATAATTCAAATGTGTAGATGCCTCATCCTCAATAAAGACTTCCTTGATACCCCTGACCAGAAATTGTCTATCTTTCTTCAGGAGGAATTCATGCACCAGATCTGGGCTGGGCTAGATGACTTCTGAGTTCTTTTCCAAGACTGAGATTATAGATTCTTCTGAAGCTTCACAAAACTCATTTTAATAAATATTTATTAAACACTTACTATATGTAAACATTAGTAAGCATCTTTATCATATCATATTTAGGATATGACCTCTATCATATTTAAAACTATGAGATCCTTGAGGACAAGGCTGCCTTAGGCATCTTTGTATCCCTCTCAGCACCAAGCCCAGAGCTTTGCTAATACAACTGAAAACAAAATTTGCTAAATGAAAATGATTGAATGAATTCAATCTAAAGACGTACTGTAAAAAAAAACAAAAACCTAACACAAATGCAGCTTGGAAAACTAGGTCCCAATTTCCCAGCTTTGAGAATAATATATTTTTGCACTGCGGACTTTCCCCACCCAAGAAGGGCAAAGAGGAAGATCCGTGTGTCTCAGCCCCAGCCCCTTCCCTTGCCTAGCCTTGTATCCCCAGATATGCTCTCCCACTCCCACTATGCATTTAGTACCTGCCATGGGCTTTACTTGAACTTTGTAGCCATTGGTATTTCCTTCTGATTCCTTCCACTTCATCTGGAGCCGGTCTTCAGACAGCACAGTAAGCCTCAGTCGGCTAGTCCCTGGAGGAGAAGTCAGAGTCCCTGAGCTCATGGAGAAAAGACGAGGCCTTGTACTCAAGTAACCTCAGTCTGAGACACAGTTTTCCAAACAGGGAAACTTCTAAATCTTGTGGGGGAGGGGCAGGGACACAGAAGTAATGGCCAAATTGTTGGATATTTTTGAATACAGTTCCTGACATAGATACTTCCACATTTTTTTTCAATGAAAACAAAGTTCAAATCAAAGTCAACAAGACTGAGACTAACGTAATGAATTCACTCTGATAATGAAAGCAATGCAGCAATTAGATTGTGATCTCCCTGGCAGGGAATGTCTTTTGCTTTTCTAAGCGCAGTGACTGGCATATAGTAGGTGCCTAATAAATGGTTACTGACTGATAGTTATTTATTATGGCTTGAGTAAATGAGGTCAAATCTGAGTAGGTGTGAAACATGTCAAATCTCAAGGAAAATATCATTAGCTACCATTAGTAGTCAGAGCAGGTTCATGGCACAGATGGGCTGTGCTATCCTGATGCTTGTTACATATGAAAGTAAAATGTAAACACTCCAAATGAAACAATCTTTTGGTGGAGGTTAAAAGTACTTTAATACTTGTTATATTTCTCAATGTCATTCATTTTGATAAATACAACATAAGCCACCCCCCCTCCAAATCCGAAATGCTTAAAATTTCAATTCCTTGAGAAGTTATACCTAATTTGATATTATCAACAAATATAAATTTTATAGTCTTAATTTTTTTTTGTTTCTAATTGTTTTAATATGAAACATATCCCTTAAATATTGATGAATATATAATTGGCTCAAAAAGAAAATCCCATGGAGCATCTGAAACTAATAAAAGCAAAGATTATAGTTTAAGTAATGAAAATGCAGAAACAATATAAAAAGCCTCAAATGCAGAAAATATTGTCCACTGTATTTATCATTCCTCCCCAGTCATATTATTGTCACATGTTTACCATTGCATCCTCTGTACTGCTGGACTTCTGGAGACCCGAGTGACTTAGTCTCCTCAATTTTATGCTTCCACTTTGGGACTTCATCCACTGTTGTTACTAGTGAGTATATTGCCAAGCTCACATGGTCCACTTTATCTAACTAGTCCCAGGCATACTTCACATTCCACCAAAGTCATATTCTTGTCATTACCTATCCTTGCTCCTACCCTTTCCTCTGAGTACTATAATTATACCAATGCTACCATTGTTGCAAGAACTGGCATATTAATCAACTCTCTTTTGACTCTACTAACCATCCCTGTGAATTCTCACATGCAAACACCTGTTTCTGTTCACTGTATCCCTATTTGTGTTATCTCTTTCTTCAGGTCCCCTATTAGAATGTAAAATCCTGGAGAGTAGGGACAGTAACACTCTTGTATTTGCATCCCATGTTCTTAGCACATCTTTTGTACATAGTAGGCACTTAATAAATTCTTTTTCATTATTTTTATTCATTCTTTCATTGGCATTCACATTTATTGCTATTGATCAAGTGGAAAGACTGCTGTGTTTGCTTTGTATAAATATTTCAGCTGCAGATAACATGAAACCTAATAATTGGAAGTCTCCTGAAAGTATACATGTAGAATATATTGGCAAGATGAGATATTTTTTTAAAAGAGAATTCCAAGCTTTTTAATAACAGAAAACAAAATTTAAAATGTCTGTGGCATTCAAAAGAATTTCTTACATCTTATAAAGTCGCTTACAGAATTGCTATGTGTAGTAGAAAGCCTCAGTTGATAAGAGAAATATTTGTACTACATAAAGCTATTGATATAGTAGGGAAGATGCTTGGTCAATCATTTGCAGAGCAGCTTTGAATGGTTCTACACACTGAAAATGGGGTGGGTAGAAGAATTGTTCAAATGCAATCAATTAATTGACAAACCAAATCTTCAAGCTATTTTGCTCTGTAAGTGGATAAGATATTCATTGTTTTCAATTCAATAAACATTTATTAAGAACCTACTATGTGCCAGGCACTGTGCTAAGTGTTGGGGGAAAAAATAAGAAAAAGAAATACAGTCCCTGATCTCAAGGAGTTTATAGTCTATTGGGGAAGACAGCATAGAAAAGGAAGCAAGAAAGTGAGATATGAGGGGATGGCCAAAGGATATATAGCAAGGGTATCTAGTTCCATGGAGTTGAAACCAGGCAGAGTAGCAGATGTAAAGTGGAGTGGGTTGAAAGTCCAATTTCTGCCCTCTACAAAGCAAGGCTTTGGGAGAGGTTTGGTACTGCACCTTCCAGCCCTCCAGTCAAAGGGGAGAGGAGGCTACAGGAGGTGGTGTCCGGGCTTGAGTGAGCAGCGTGTTGATGAGAAGTCTTAAGCTTTTCCTGGAAGGAGCATCTTGTTTATTGGAGTTGAAACCAGTCAGAGTAGTCAGAGCAGCAAATACAAAGTGGAGTAAGCAATTATTTGATTACATATGTATGCTATGTTGTTGATCTGATGCTAATGGCAATTTGTTACTTTCCAAATTGATTGATAAGAATGCAATATCAAGAGAAAAATTCAATATAATCAATGGAATTTTAAATGAAATTTTAATGAAAATTATATAATGTGGAAGAACTGTAATGGACTTAACACTGAGGGAGTTCAATAGATATCAGGACAAACATAAATCTACCAGTAGTACTTTAAAAATGGTACTTCATGGAATTTGGACAAATGCTTCACAGACAATGGCATATTTTAAGAAATATGATTAAAGAGCTACTTTTTTTTGAGATGGACCTAAGATTTCATTGATGCATAGAATTCACAAAGAAAACTCTTTCTCATAGTGCAAATGAGCATTTCCTCTGAAATTTATATTTTACAGAGTTTCCTGGGGGAAACTAGGAGCTCAAGTGACTTATCCAAAGCCATACATCCAATATGTGTCAGAGGCAGGACTTGAACCCAGAACTTCCTGATTGATGTCTGCTTTTCATCTACTATGAAACATAATGGCTTTCTCAAGTTACAGAATTTGGAAGAATGTTTCACCTAAAAAATGAAGTTATCATTTTTTCTTAACAATAATAACAATGAAGATGAAGCAAACTAATTTTTAACAGAAGTTTCCTTCTCAAACTCCATATTTGGTGGATATTTTTGAAAAATTCTAAATAAATAAATTAACATGACTCAAATTCATGATCTGATCCAGAAAGATAAAATGACTGCATTTACAAAAAATATATAGAGCAATGAATAATACATTTAAAATTTAATAATTTTGTTTTCCAATTTTAAAAATCTCTGTCAAATGAAATAAAAGCAAGTAAAGATCTGATTATTAATCACATGACTTGTCAACAGAAGTTTTTACTTTATGTTCAAGACATATTTCTAAATATTAATGGTAAGGAATTAATCTATCATGGATGATTATTATACTTTCAATCTTGTTTCATCTAAAGAAGAACTATTAATAGACTTGTCCCATGATAGTAAGCTGAAACGAGCATTTGAATCAGAAAATGTTATGTTTGGGTTGTAAGTGAGTAAAGGGCTCTAAGGTTTGTCAAATTAAGTGATACTGTACAGTATTTGCAATATCTTGTTAGCATTCAATGAGTTTTTCTATGCTGGGTGTTATAAAGACAAAATAATGTTCTAGATTACTAGTTGAAAAAGAAGTGACAATATCAATGACACCATGGCTTGAGAAACTTTGGGCTGAAAAACAATCACACTCATCATATTAATACTATTATTGTGGTTATTTTTTGTTATATACATGAGCATTATAAGTTACTTTATCAATAAATGAATACTTGTGTATATTATATTATTTTTATTATATGTTGGAGATTTATAAGTTATAAAAATTATGATAAATTCTTAATTTTATTTGAATAAGATGTTACCTAAGAAAACTATTTTTGAAAAATTGTTTATGAAGAGAGAACATGACAATTTTTGGAGGAGGTAAAAAAGTAAGGTGTTGCTATGCAATGTTTGGAAACCATAAGTCTTAGGGGAAAATAGCTCCTCCCTCAAAAGCTCTATGGGGGTGTGTGTAAGGAGTGAGGGTTAGGGGAGTGGGATGGCAGTAGGACAAAGATTCAGCCTATGATCACAGAGTCCCAGTCTGAAGAAGGCCGACTCATACAGAAAATGATCCACAAAGCAACATCTAAATCTGTAACTTCATCTATGTTGAAAATGGTCCTTGAGTGTGAGAAATGAAGTGGGAAACCTGGGGTATGGAAATCCTGAGGGATACCACTTCCAGTTGCTGGAGTAAATTTCCCCCAAGGAAGCTGGTTCAGGCCAGCTGCAGAGAGGAGACTCCAAGCCTGGCAAAGCATAAGAAATTACTTATGACAGAAAGAGCTGAGACAGCAGCTGGCGGCTTGTCCCAGGCCTGGGGCCTTAGGGCAGGCCACAGATGTGGATTTCCTAGCACAGGCACACAGACATAATACGGGGGCAAGTAACTGCTGATGGAGACATCGGGGTGCAATAGAAGTGGTTCAATGGGAAGAGGACCGGCTTTATACTCTAGAGGTCTGGTTTTTGAATCCCATCTCTGACACTTATTACCTGAGTGACCTATTTTGGACCTCAGTTTCCTCACCTGTAAAATGAAAAGTTTGGGCTAGATGATCTTTAAGAGCTCTTACAGCTCTAAAGCTTACAATCCTCTTACTGATCAGTCAAGCTTACTCTCAGGTTCACTTTTAGGGCAGGCACAGTGCCCATAGTATAGTAGGCACAGGCACATAGTAGGTGCTAAAAAAAATTGAATTAGATTCTATTAGACCAGCATAGAACTCTCCATTACCTCTCTGTGCTAATGGGGTGGGAAGAAAAAATGACTGATAATCTAGAACAGCAAATAGTCCTAAATCAAACTCTTATTGGCCTTGAGTATGGCTAAGGTAATGGAGCAGAAGGAGAGAAGGGGGATTTGCCTCTAATTCGTGCTGATTGTAAAATTTCACAGACCTATAGTCTCCACTCTTACATCCTATATCCCAACATAGAATAGT